TTCATGAAGAATCTGTTTGCTGAGTAGTGTAATTATTATTGTCAAATTTATACTTCGAGGGATCATTTGGATACTCACCTTGCTGTTGTAAAAAATTATGACACTCATGTATTTTTGTCCACTGATCATAAATCTGAAGTCTAAACGTGGTGCTCCGGTTTTGCCATTATTTTTTTGAGAACATAGGCTTCCATACAAATTTGAAGAGAACAAAATCCGGGCTGGTAAGCCTCGGTTAAATGGAACCTGAAGTAATAAACATTCTGTCTGCTACTAGGGCAGACGTCATGAGTGGTATGTGTGTTGAGTGCGAGGATGACGTCTCAGCAAGACTGATTGGTGAGCTACTCATTCACTCATATTTATAATTTCAGAGGGTGGTAGGGGTGATGACGGTAATGGTTGTGGGGTTGATAGTGGTTGGAGGAGGTGACCATGCAAATGCTTAATCCTGATTGGTTGGTACTTTTGCTGAGTCTTTCTGATTGGTCCACTTTGACAGGTATGCTACTGATGGGATGTGGATCCAAGTTGTATTCTTCTCCATTTGTGGCCTTCTTGAGGCCAGTACCACATTCTGTTGAGCTCTATTGTAACTGGAAATTAGACAGTAGGGATATTGACGTGATATATTCGGATATTATGAAAAATATCATCGAAGATGTTGACTCTCTTACGCAGTTGAATTCAGTTTGTTATAAGCAAAACCATCTTTAAGGTACAATTTTCAAATCATTAACATAACTCAATATAGAGATAAAAATTATAAGGAATTTAAGGTAGTCAAAACTGATGATGATGATAATTAAAACAAACCATCTAGAAAAGTTTGAGGAACCAAATCGTTAACCCACTGAAATTGAAAGGATCACAATTCTATCAAAAGTATTCAAAAAAATGTGGAGAGCTATGAAATTATTTATATGACCTAACCATAATTCAATTCCTAGTGAAATTTAAAGCTGAAACTGGAACCTCTAGCGTAGAATAAATACAAAATAAGCACTTCTCCCAATCACCAGAAATGCAATACTCCGAGTTAGCGTCAACGAGAGATGTGAACCTAATGAAATTGTATTTGATTTTTCAACATAAAACTATTATTGCAGAATCTAATCAAAATATGGCTGAAATTCTCAGTATTTTTTTCATACCAAGTACTTCTAGATTAGAGCCACTATTCCTGCATATCCGTTATGGCCCAACATAGCTTTACCAGTTGTAACAGCTCAAAAGCAGAATTCAAACCACTTACAGTGCTTGATATAAATAATATTGTAAATCATCTTGACAGTTAAATCCAACTAAAGTACTTAAATTTTGTCAGAACATCACCGACGAAGAGCCAATTTCCACAAGACCTAAAAACTAGTAACAATGTCCTAGTGTCAATAATCAGTAATACTATTGAAATTAACAGCTTCCGCCCCATCAATACCTTGCCAGCTTCAGAAAAAGTATTGTCGCTGCTTGTAATCATATTTGTTATTAAAAATAAGCTTTAAATGGAATATCAAAGTCTTACAGTATTAGACTTTAACATAAATCTACTAACAAAAGACGCACTGACAAATGCCTTTTTAACCATTTTAACCACCTATGATATGCATCAAATCATATTTGACCCAACAAGAATTACAAAAAAATCACATACCCTTCTAGATAATATATTTATCTCTACAAGTAAACACTATGAATAAAAAATTCTAAATACTGCACTTTCTGATCATGATGGACAAATCTTAATATTATCCACATTTAGCGAAATGAGACCCAAAGCAACACAATGCAAAAGAATATTCTCTGAAGCAAAGATGGAGCAATTCAGGCTTGAAATAGACTCTCTTGATTGGAAAGAATTATCTACTACTGATGATCCAAATATAGCTTATGATATATTCATTAATAAAATAATGAATTTGATAAATATTTTATTTAAGCCAAAAAAAATTAATACTAGAAATGAAGACACAAAAAACTGGATGACTAAGGGCATTAGAATATCATGTAAAAATGAAAAGAAACTCTATCAAAAGAAATTAAAACAACTTATATCAAATGAACAATACCGACAATACTGCAAAATACTAAAAAATGTTATCAAGAAGTCGAAGGTAATATCTGACAATCAATATATTTCAAATGCTACAAATAAAGGAAAGGCAACATGGTCACTAGTTAAAAAATACACTGGGAAAGCAAAAAATGAAAGCGACACAATTTTAAGAAACCTAGATACAGAAAACGGAAATAAAAAACTGGTTCTAGATAAAGTAAATAGTTTTTACATAAATCAATGCTCGGAACCTGCGAATCCAAAATTAAATAACCCTGCTAGTCTCCTTTGCAAACCAGCAAACAATAAAATAAATAATCCTGTTACACCAACAACTGAAGTGAAATTTATAGCATAATACTATCTCTAAAAAACATCAGATCTGTCGGCTATGATGAAATTCCTGTAAAACTACTGAAATTCGCTGCGCAAGAACTTTCAAAACCCTTAACATTGATTGTCAACATGATGCTTAGTAATGGCATATTTCCCAATAAATTGAAAATTGCTCACATAAAAGCAATTTTCAAAAAAGGTGATAGAAATAAAATTGAAAATTATAGACCAATAGCTCTACTATCGACCATTAGTAAGATATTGGAAAAAGTGCTATATAACCGCCTTATAGCCTATCTAGAAAAGTTACTGCTATTGCTATTGCAATTTATCAAGCCTTGTGCATAGTGCTGAATAGTCAAAATGAAAGAAAACACACTTTAATGATTTGTCTAGATCTGTCAAAAGCTTTTGACAGTGTCGACCATAATATACTAATAGGCGAGCTTAATGCCTATGGAACCGAGGAAATCTCAGCCGATTTAATAAAATCATACTTGCAAAATAGAACACAAAGAGTTGTTGAAAAATACCACCTCACTAACGAAAACATACAGTCAGATGAATTAACAATCTTGAGGACCAATCTTAGGACCGTTGTTATATATTCTGTATGCCAATGAGCTAGCAAATGCTATTGATTTCAACACTGTGCAGTTTGCAGATGACACAAGTTTAGTAATCAAGGAACATAGTATTGAAGAATTAGACAGAAGCGTGTTTGAAGCACTGAATACATTGGAAGATTGGTTCACACATAATCACTTAAAGTTGAATATAAACAAAGCACAAGTAATAAAGTTTTCCCAACAATCAACTGCATGTGAATACTCANACAGAATATTGCAAAATACTGCTGAGCTCTAAGAGTGCTAACAAGATCAATATATATAAACGCTGCTGTGTGTGTCTACTACGCACAAGTTCACTCAAGGATCAAGTACGGTTTAATATTCTGGGGTGCTTCGTCAGATGTCCCCAAGATATTTAAGATGCAAAAGCGATGCCTTAGAATTATATTTAACCATAAACAAACTGATAGTTGTATACCCTTATTTATAAAAAATAAAATACTAACCTTATACAGCCAGTACATTCTTGATACTATATTATTTGTTAAGGAAAACACCAAACTTTTTGAGAACTCTAAAAAGACACACATATACTCTACAAGAAATAAGTCAGACTTGACCTGTAATACTCCAAACTTCTCATTTATTCAAAAAAACGTACCGCATACTCTAATAACAATTTACAACAAACTTCCACTTACAGTGAGGGAATTCCATAAAACAACAATAAAAATAAAATTAAAAGCATTTTTACTTGAAAAAGTATACTATGCAACTGATGAGTATTTAAATGATACTATTATTATTTGATATATTTGACTGCTTTTACTACAATCATGGACTCTAAGAGCCTATATCTACATGTACTAATATTTTTATATGTATGCATATATTTTTGTGCAGTTTATGTACTATACATCTTTCCTTCCTCTTTCAACCTAATATTATTGTGATATATGTTTATATTTATACTGACATGTTCTATGCCCTCAGGGGTATTTTTATCCTGAACAAATAAATTTTATCTATCTATCTATCTAAAAGTAATGTTATCATTCTAATCAGAACCTAATCAGGTGATGATTCGTTTTCAAATTTCAATCATTTCTCAGATGGTTACTTGTTTTGTAGTTTTGTGTACGATACATAAAATGCTACCTTTCATGAGTTTCTAGAATAATTCATTTGTATTTGCTGTTTCCCTTCATTTATTGACTTCCTCATAACTTCTAGATGTTTACGAAGTATTATTTGATGATGGCTTTGTAAAAACTATCAAGGCCCACAGAATGAGCAAGGCACAAGGCAAGCAATTACAAGCATGTCCATTGTTTGATCCGATTAAAAGTAGCAAACAGGACAGAAGAGATAAGAAAAGGAAGCTGAATGTGGCAGCATTGTTCAAAAAGAGGGCCAGGATTGATAAAGAAGACAAGCCCATGAAATCATCTCAATCTAGTATTTCTCAGGAATCACAGAGTCCCAAAGAAGTTCAAGAAGAAGAAGCAGTAGAACCTGAACCAGAACTTCCTGTTGAAAATTTGCAAACTGAAGAGGACATTCAGAATTGGAAACCAAGGTATAGTCACTGCTTTCAATATGTTTTATATTAAATATATAAACTCACCTTCTGATCTGTAAGAAGTAGTTTACTGTAAGTTTGAGTTGACAGTCAGCACCATCTTCTGAAATTTTTCACAAAGTACTAATTTAAAGTCAAATATAAACATTTTATTTTTAGTTAATGAAGTTGGAAGTCTTGTCAAATTTTTATAACATGAATATAACATTTTTTGTGGAGGTATTCAGAGTTTTTTCTGAGCTAAGAGATTAAGAATACATCTGAACAATACTTTAGGTCACACATAACTTGTAATCTAGTTTAGAGAATCTTAATAAGAAGGTCGATTAAAAATGATCAATCTACTCTTCATTAGTGTAATATAACAATTATAGACTACAGCTTAATAACATATGTATTGAGCAAACATCTACTCCATCGAGATATTTTTCACAATGTATTTGAAGTGATGTTACAATAACCTTTTGTCTTCAAGCATCTTTGGTATCCAACTTCTTTAGTTCAATATGCACTGAAAACGAACTTTCTAAGGATGGAGAAAATATAAATTTTATGTTACTAGTTGCCGTGGCTTCGCCCGTGTAGAACATCCCTTTATATGTATTAGATTTGGTAGTTGTAATACTAGTTAGTACTATGTTGCTGTATCGCTGCTGTTCCAATGTTTTAACAGAATCAGGATCAACAAACTTAGGCGTGCGCAGAGTTATAGAACAGTGCTTTCAAGCGCCATCTAGTGGCGAGTTACAGAAAAATTGATAGCCTAAAAACCTTCTCTATATAATACTTAGCAACTGTAAAGAAAGTGAATTTCAGATGGATAAAAGGAAAGCCAGTCGGTATAGAAGCCACTATAGAAACCCAGGATGGTCCAAAAACATCTGTTATTGTTCCTGATCCTCGATTGCCTGAAGGTTGGCATAAACATTTGTTGAAAAGAACCAAAGGAACTGATGCTGGAAAGTGGGATACAATAATAGTCAGGTAATATCTACTCCTCGTGAGATGAACATTTAACTTGACTTATTTTTTACAGTCCCGAAAACAAACGATTCAGATCAAAGACGGATGTGGTGAAGTATTTGGAAGAACACGCTTCTGAAGGGCTGAATCTATCCATGTTTGATTTTTCACTTGTTTCCAAAAGAAAGAAAAAAAACGTTTCTGTGGTTCCTGCCCCACCTCAGGAAGCTGCACCTGTACCTGCACTTGCTCCTGTTGCTCCAGTTTTACAAGAAGAACAAGTTACCTCGGAAGAAACTGAACTAAAGGAAGAAGGTTTGAAATTTATTTGTTTAATTGAGATTTTTTGTGACTGCGGAGCCAGGAAATTAAGAATACATCTGAACGATACTTTAGATCACACATAAGTTGTAGTATAGTTTACAGAATCTTTCATAGATAGATAGATTTATCGCGTTCCCACAAGAATAGTGTCACGTTCCTCTTGAAAAATATGAAAGCTGATGGTATTCAAGTATGTTTTTTTCTATATCTCTTTCTTTGATAGTCATACAAAAACACAAGTATATGAAAAATCGAAGAAATGGCGTTATTGGTGAAGCTTGTTAGAGTTCTATGGTTTTATGTTCCATGTCATATGTCACATTCATGTCGTCATGTATTAGTAGTGATTTACATTAAAATGAAAATATAAACCACCGCGGTATTTTGTCGTTCATTTAAAATTTAACGTTCTCCATTTCATGCACAAATAACAATGCTCACAAGATTTTAAAAATTATACTAGTAACAGAATTGCACTATATTCACATGAGTTCAGATGTTAAGGATTTTAAATGTCTATTAGAGTCGTCTTTTTCTCGAAACATCAAAGTAAAAGTGTTGAGTTTTAGGATTGAACTCGTCACCAACAAATTTTCCACAACTTCATTGTTTTGAAACGTCAAAGCTAAGGGATACAGAATAGTTCAAATGGTGTCATAGTTGCCTATTTTAGGGTACTATTGAATTATATTGAAGAATCAACTAATTTATTTTGGTTCTGTGACTTGTCAAAAGCATTTGATTTTGTTAACCACAGAATACTGCTGCGGAAGCTACATCATTATGGAATTGCTGGAAACTGCCTGAAATGGTTTGAATCCTATCTTACAGGACGTAGACAGTTTGTTAAAACCAATAGTTGCTCAAGTACAAAGAATGTGAAAGCAGGTGTGCCCTAAGGATCGATCTTAGGACTCACACTTTTTTTACTCTATGTAAATTACCTGGCTACTGTACATATCTCTGGTAGTTTCACCATTTTTGCAGATGATACCACACTTTTGTGGCATAATATAAATCAACAGAATTTATATGAAAGCATCTGTAATGATCTCAGCGAAATTAAACGTTGGTGCGATGCAAATCTGCTGTCATTCAACACTAAAAAAACTAGTATAATCACCTTTAAGTGCAATTTACCAGAAGTTCATATGATTCAGCAAAAGCCCTGCAAGGCTGAATCTAAGGCATCGTCAGGTGTAGCTGAAGTGCAAAAACCCTCATATGGGAAGGTTGTCGTGGGTATCTAGGTGGGATTCTTGCAACTTGACTATCTGACTACCTCATTAACAGAGCACATACTTTGTGCCTGCCCCGCTTAATTATACTATCTACTGAAATTGAATGAAACTTTGTTCAACTTTTTTTCAGAAAATGCAAATTCTTTAAAAATTCTTTTTGAAGATGATGCTTATAAGTGTCCTATAGAAGGTTGTGGAAAAACTTTCAGGAAAGAGAATTTGGCACAGATGCACGTTAAGCATTATCATCCTGAATATACAAAGTTCTTGGACTCTACCCCAAATGTAGCTGATCTTGCATATGCACGTACTGTTGGTGAAAATTTAGACAGATCTCCAGGTGAGTGTTGTACTGCAGTGTTATTAGTTGAATATGACAATCATAAACCAATAATAAATATATGAAAAACTATATGTCGATTTTAGTTTTATTGAAAATATGGATAATTTTTCGCAACAGAAACGTGAAAATGTGAAAATTTATTTTTTTCTTTCATTGCAATCGTAGAAGAGTTCTTTGGATTCAGGATCGAGAGCCACTTCCTAAGTAGGTTACTTTTATTATTGCTTACAAGTAGAGTACGGGAAGAAGTAACAGCTTTTAATGACCGATCATCATCTGGGACATTTTTGTTCATTTTGAACAATTGTTAGTTGTCATTAACTCAAATACAAAATTTCCAGTATGGGGCTGAAACTGACTTCCTGTTTTTGTATAGAGAATGCATTGAAACCAGCACTTATTTGAGAATATTTTGTAGATGATTTAGTGAATAAGTATCTTAGATGTTCCAATTAAAACATTTAGTAGTGGGTGATTTCTTGCTATGACTCCTTAAAAAATTCACTTTAAACTCTGGTTTGCTTCACTTGTTGATCTGGATCTATAATTTGAAATCCTTATAGGATTCTGCTCATAGACGAGAACGCAAATTCATAAAACCACTCCATGTGTATTCAGATGAGTTATTTAACCAAAATATGAACTAAATAGTCTGTTTTTCATCAAATACTCGTAAGCAATCAATAGCCAGATAAATCTTCATGTGGATTGAATGTTTCTCTCAAGAAATAATTCAAAATAGTTAGCTCTGTTCGCAGTGCTTCTACAGATATAGTTGGCATTTCAAACACTGTCCGAACATTCAACCCTGAGTTGGAGGAATTGTGCCAAAAATTACCATATATTTGATATAATTGCATTTATGCAATCAGAATATCAGAATATTTGTAACTTTCATATTGAGGGGTTCTTCTCAAGTTCTGTCATTAATTTCAAAGGGCAATTACTTGTTATATTTCATGAAGGAAAGTTCCTGTGAATAAATGTTGAAAAATATCTGGGAAACTACTGAAAATGAAAACTTCAATTTAGGTCGAAATTTGTATCAAGTAATATTGTTGATTTCATGGAGATGGATGTTAACAATTCAATGTTGAAAAACTTTTAATGTACTTTCTCCATAATGATAACATCTCAAGTTCCTGGCATAACTTTTTGCAACATAACAAAGCAACTTTTTTTGAGAGCTTCAGTTTCATCTATTATTGTTCTTTATTTTGTTTCCAGTATGTTGAGAGTTCAAAGAATTTCAGTTTTTGATGAACTCGACAAGGATCAAATGAATCAAAAATCCATGTGACTTTTTTATGTCATACGTTTCTTTGTCCAAATAATTTTTAGGAAAACTTGAGTTCTTGAGTGTCTGTAAATGTGTCTTTACATATATGCTGTTGTCAAATCATCTTAGATCTTCTTCAATTTCCTAAATATAAATAATTGTACCAGTATTGAAATGATTCAGATGCATCTAATTTATAGAATTACAAATGGAAAAAAATATCAACGGAGTCTTTCAAGCATAATTCTGAAAGTAGAGGCAGATTGATAACAGTAATTACACCACAATAAGTAATTCTACAGGAAATTAACATAATGCCTCTGAGTTCTTACCATTCACTAATTAGCTTTTACTATATGGAAGTGGTGTCAGGTTTACCGCCTTCTAGCTTTTTTCTTATAGGGCCTGCAAAACCTGCCCCCGCTAAAACAAGCTTCAGAACTTCAACTCCTAAAATTACAAAACCGCCGATTCCTGCTCAAGAGTTGCCTGAATCGAAACTGGCAACCAAATCAAAACCAGTTGTCTCCACTCCAAAATCTAAGGACTCCGAAATAATAAAGCTCTTGAACTCCAAACCTTTCGACAAGAAAGAGACGGAAACCATACAGCCTTTGCCTTCTGGATTGCCTATGAACATGTACCCCGATATAAAATTAAAAGATTTGCTGAATAGGGCTGAAGGTGTTCCGAAAAGGGATGATCTTAATTTGAAAACTTTGTGCTCCACCCGAATTTCTTCTGGTATCAAGACGTTGCTTCCTGTCGTTAGGCAGCCTCCTGTAGAGGCACCATCAGGTTAGTATTGTTATAGTTTCTTTAAAACAAATGTGAGGTAGTTTTTTATCATCAGAGAAATATCTCATGATAGTCTGAAGGCTCATGAATGCTACACCTTTCTTATTTAATGAAAGCTGAAAGTTTTTCATGGCAGGCCCCTAAAATGTAGGAACGATGAGCACTATGAAGTTTGGATTACCGTGGCTTTGGTAGGTGAAGGGTGAAAAAAGGTATATGAATTAGCAAATTGAAATTTGTCCAAGTATAATGCGTGATTTTTTAACTATTTCTCCGGGATAATATAAATCTCGTCATACATTGCCAGACACTTCATATCCTGGCAACATTTCATCAAACTACCTCAACTTTAATAAATTGTAACTGTGCTCACTTCATAATATAGAAACTCAATTTAATGTATGTTATTCAGATAACTATTAAAATATGTTTACTCATCAGCCAGACAGTTTCGACACTTCTAATACCTGGCCAGACAAACATAAAAGGTAGCTGTAGGTGTGAACGTGAGTGATATACATCCAAGTGAATGCAAGTGAGAGTCCGTTTATGTCTTTTGCTGCGAATGTTTAATTTATTTTCATGTTTACAAAATAAATAAAATAATAATGAGACACTGAAAAAATGTCCACAAATTTTTGGAACTTCAGAAAAACATGTCAAATATAATGATAGTATTTTACCAAGTCAATATTATCACAGAATTAATCATTCATCAGACTAGTGAAAGAATATTGTAATTTTGATTCTTTAAAAAAAACATGAGAAAAAGAATCGGATCAAGAGCAAGGGATTTTCAAATCTCTAACTCTTGATCTTGTTAAAATTAATAAGAGGTTAGGTGATGTAGCCAGGAAGCGATTCAGTCGCCTCTTCCTGAGCAAGATCTGTATCTGTAGAGTAGAGAGGGTGGGTGTAGACCCACAGCACTTAGGCCACATGTGACCCATTGTACATCCTCCCGAGGAGTTGTCCTCCTAGGTCATCGTCCATCCTGAGGTTTCCAGGAAAAGAAATAAACTCCTACTCGCAGGTCTGCAAATGCTTATGCTAAAATGATGAGAGGGCACATATTTTTGTCCGTATCAGTCTTACATTTGCCAGCTGACCTGGAAGATCACCCGTCAAATGGATAATCGATTTCAATAAGAAGCTGGATTTATTCAATTGAGTTTGATTAGCTGTGATCCACAACATATTCTCCCAGATTACAGTAGTGGGTAAAATAGCCCCACTCATTTTGGAAATGTATCAGTTTTCAATGACATATTCATAAGATTGCACCATATATGCCTCTTCATAAACCATAATTACAAAGTTACCAGTTCTATATTTGAAATATATCAGATACATTAGATTTATGCCACTGATAAATTGAATTTTCCTTAGACTGTGGCAAGTGTTTGTTTTGATGTCAGACATTAAAAACGAGAATTAAGACTCAATTAAAAATTACAACAAACTTGGAACTTTGACTTCAATCTCGTATTAATTTCTTAGCAATTCTGGAAATTTGAAATCTATTTAGTTATTCAATAAGTTCTTTGACGACCAGGTAATATCCAATAACTCTAAAATGTTTCTTAGTTTCTGGCACAAGTACAATTCAAGAAGAGACTCCGAAACAGCCAGGGAGACGAAAACGCCCTATTAGCGAACATATCGAAATCATAAAAGGTAAAGACTCTCCACAATCTTTGCCATCACCATCACATCAGCAACAATATACGACACCTACAGCAACGTCTACAGTATCTGACAACTCTCTTTTCCCATCGATACCTACACCAAATCAGTCACAACTTTCTCCCCATCCATTTCAATTCGAATCACCACCTCCCGACCCTTCCCAACCCCCTAATAATGTTATAATTGAAGGAGGCGAGGTTATTAAGATCGTTAGGATGAAGCAGGAAGAGATCATCAACTGTACGTGCGGTTTTACTGAAGAGGACGGGCTCATGATCCAGTGCGAGCTGTGCCTTTGTTGGCAGCATGCTTACTGCAACAATATTGAACGTGAGAGTCAGGTGAGTTTTCAGACATTATCAGAGAGCTACTGATGAAGTTTTGGTAATAATAATGTTCATTCACTGAAATAGACTTATGAATTATGTGAAATTACATAAAATTTTAAGAAAATACAGATATTCACACTTCATCTAAAAGTAGATTATACAATCTTCTAGGCTATAATTTGGATGTGGCAGCAAATATTTTTTCATGATGAGAGTGAAATTGGAAAAAGATGAATTTGTGAACAATTAAATTTTATTTTAGCCATCAATAACTGTAATTTTAAAGTCGATCAGAGCAGGGAGTGGACAAATATGATGACTCACGTAAAGTGTTAGATATACAAATACCATTTTTATTTATTTGTACAAAACTTCCAGGCAGGATTATGCTAGTATAAGGAAGTTGATAAAAATCAATAACAACTTTTGATAATGAGAAAGTATGAACATTCAAATATTTTTAAGTTAATGATCATCATTGAACTAACGATGCCATGCACGAACTTTGCATGGCTAAAAAGTTTGAGCCTTCATAGAGCTTGATGCCTCTTTTAGAACATTCTGCCATTTTTTATTTTCAACAAAGATTTGACCGTGAGATGCATGTCTTGGTGTTAGATGTCATGTTTGTTTATAACAGAGCAAGAAAAAAGGTTATACTCGATAGTATTTGTTGTTTCTAAAAGTAAATAATTCATTCCATTGAAAATAGAAGCATATTTTTCCATTAAAAAAAAATAAGTTCCAAATTGTGCTTATGATGTCACATTCACCGTGAATATTTCCAGAATGTACAAGATTATTCTAACATCACAAATATCCACAAACTAATATATCCCGTTCATATTTAATAGACTTTTCCGCAAAAAATAAAAGCTTAAATCAATATTATTTGATAGTTCTATAAAAAAATGGTTCGTTCATCTAGAAGTAACACTCAAATTTTTCTATTTCGAAAGAAAAATCAAAGTTTCATAAATGACTGTGACGTCACTGCTATCGAGACCTTGCCGCCCCCCTTCTTTCAAAACATCTTTCCAAATGTATATAATTTTTTGTGAAGCTGAGAAAAATTCAAATATGAACTGTTTGTTTGGTAATATGAAGTGCTTCTAATTATTGTGAATGAGTTTTATCGTGTTGCCAAGTTGAAACTACTGGCAAACATATTTGAAAAAATATAAATAATAATAATAATAAGAAAAAATAATCTAACAGCACCCCACAACCTACTAACAGTTTGAATTTGGAAAATAGTGAAAGATTATCAGATTATGCAATATTATGGTTACTTCTTGAATAATGAATGTTCATTTAATATTTTACCATATTCATTGTTCAAGAAAGGTTTAGATGTGTGAGTTTTTGTATTTTATCTTTGTTTACTAATGAATATAAAGCACTGTTTTGTAAGAGTGACATCCAAAAATTTGCCCCAAATAGATTATGAAACGGCTGATTATTTATTTGAACAATTTGTATTTTTTCCAGTGCTAAATTTTAATAGATCTATAAGCTGTTCTTTAGGAACATGAAAATGAATTTGAGAACATTATAGTACCAGTAAGTTAGTATAGTATAGAAAAAAAAGGTTGCCGTTTCAGAGCTTATTTGAATGACCCTTCAAAATTCACAAAATTCTGATTAGTTCCAGGGATATTTGACAAGAACTGAAAATCATTCAAGGATTCATCAAAAAAGACTCTCATTTCCCCTCAAGCAGTACGAAATGGCGTTTAAGGAATTTCAATCCGATGTATTGTCTAAAAAAAACCATAGCCAATTTATTTTTTTATGATTTGGAAAAAATCACTGATTATGAATTAGCCTTCTTGCGACAAATCCATTGATGTATCACAACTTTTTTCTAATATGAACGACTTTGTATCTCTCACAGTTGCCAATTTTTCCATGCTGACATTTCTTGCACACACTGAAATATCGTATTTTCATGTATTGAGGTCCTTCGTTTTGATTTAGTGGGAAAGCAAACAATGAAATGAAGCAAGTCCCAACAGCTGATGAATCTTTTATGCATGCCTAGTGTTGGGAATATAAATAAAATTTAAATTGAGTTTCCTTAACACTGTTACGCTACTGTGTAATTGTCTATGTCTAGTTGTCAAGGGATACCTATCTACCTACCCTCGGGAACCAATAGTGTGGGTCCCGTTTTCTTTACCGCTTACTGAAAGAGTACCCTCGTTCGACGGTATGGTTTTAGCAAAACCTAAGAAAGGTCTAGTTAAGTACAAAGTGTTAGTTTATTGTGGAGAATATCAAAGGTTCTCATTTGTATGAGCTTAGTGATAGTGTGTCTCACAACAAATTAAACAGATCAAACCAATTGTCGTATTCGACATTCTGTGAAATCTGTAAACTAGGTGTGACAGAATAAAGTGTGTTACTTAATTACCTACGTCGCATTATTTGATAGTATACAGTCCACTAGAAGGGGGCCAGCAAGCCCAAAAACCAAAATTGGGACCCAACACCTAGTAATGTTTTGTTGCTACAATTATTGGTTTCAAAATTATTTGTTTCTCATCTACAAATATATTGTTGAATGTAATTCAAGTTAATGAAAATAATAAAACTCTAGATTACAAAAAAAAAACTTATTCAAAAAACACTTTATTGTGAGATTTTCACTAAACAGTTTTACAAAAACGTTTGTAAAAGTGTTTAGTAATAATCTCATAAAGTGTTTTTTTAATATGTTAGTTATGGATTTTCATCAAGTATCGGCCAATTCCATCATATAACATAAAAATAAATATAAAATTCGAACCAGACCCAAATTATTGAATTATAAACAAAAATAATGAAATTTTAAAATGATATTTCTACCCTTTATCAGGTTCCAGAAAAGTATATTTGTTCCATCTGTCAGAATCCATTGAAAGAGCGATATTCAAGAAAATTCTACCATGATCAAGACTGGCTTAAGCAGGGTACTTTACCCGTCGGCAGTTACCATTCCAAAGATGATGAAGCTCTTCAGAAGAGGTTCGAAAAAATGAAGAAGAGCCATGACATATCTGGAGGGCTACATGAACTCCAGGATTATCTACACAGCTTGAGTATCAAAATGAAAATTGCAGGGTATGTACTCTTATTTTTTCTAACTCTAACTCTTACTTTACAGGATGTTCTTTTGAATCATAAAAGTGTAATAAAATAATTTTAAAAGAATGATTATACCACTGAATGCTGATGAGGCTAATAGCCTCCGCGGTTTGCCCCTCCCTTTTCTGGAGTGATGTTTCGTGAATTCTCCTTCTTTTTTATTTAAATCATATACATATGATGATTTAGCGAGAGATTTTAACACCTTTTCAAATATTTTTTCAAACAAATTTAAGAGAGCAATCGGAATATGATTTGAAGCATTTTTTCGTTCTCCTCTCTTATGAATTGGTTTAAGAGTAGATTTTTTCAAACCTCAATGAATTGAATTGTATCTCAATCAATAAAAATGTAAGAAAATTAATGAATGGTTGAATGAGAAATCAGCATTCTGCTTATATAACAATAATTCTATTATGTTTTCTAGATCTAAAAATCACCCCAAACTGTACTTGTGGTCGAAACCTTGGGACAAACAGCCTTTGCCTGAAAAGATCAAACAAGATGAAGATGTCAAACCAAAAGTAGAAAATGAAGAATATCTCAAGTCCGGAATAGAAGAGGACAAAGATGAATCTCAAAATGAAAATTCCATGCTCATGATGATTTTGAGGGAGGGCAGAGATGTTATACCAAAAATCGACCTCAACTCTCTGATGGACACCAACGGCCCCATTATTCCCCAACCGGAGGCCGCAATCGATTCTACTGATTGCCGGTTGAATCTTTTGGATCATATCATCCACCAAGAATCTCTAGTCGAGGAGCGGTTGGATGATTTTGAAAAACAAATTGAGGCTTTAGAGCAAGGAATGAACATGGAAACTGATAAAGACTATCCTGTTACCAGACATACTCTTCAGATGTTGACGAGAGATCTGGATACTTTGAAGGAGATAAGCCAGAGTTCTACCTTGTAGTGATAAGAAATTTTTCCAAAGAGTTTAAATTGTTTTTGTTGATATTTGCTATATTATCATTGAATGATATTTTTTATATATTCAATCAATAAAAGATTTGATATTACCACTCTTTTTTTCAACTCGTCGAGTTCAAAATTTATATTCCCTATGTAGGGTGGAGTTTTAAAATCTGACTTTATAGAGGAAATTTAGCCGAAAAGTTGCACAAGGGATATCTAGTCCGAAAAATATGTATACCATGAATTCCAGGTCAAATGAGTCACCCTGAATAAGCCATATGATGGCAGGGGGACACATTTTTACGTAAAAATAAACCTCTTGGAATTGATAGTCGAGTTACATCTTATTTAAAAGGCACTTGAATTTTTTAGAATATGGCCTGGATCGAAGATCTGAAATCATTGAATATTGAACGGATTCAGCACACTTTTTTCAATTTCCAAGCTCCAAATACACATTAACTACCAATATTGTGAACAGTTCACCAACCTGTCCTCACTCTCCTTCAGAAGATAAATTGATCAGCAGTAAAATAAACAGTCCTTGTTTACTATCGAAAATATGAAGTACTCAAAAACAATAGCATCTTCGGGCGTCATTTAATTTTTGAACCACTTATATTACAGCGCAGATTTTACTTTTGATATTTGCCCTTTTTCAAATTGTGTTATAATAGTACATCTTTTCGTATTGGTAATGAATAAAATTGAATACATATATCTACTTTTATTTTGATATAGACTCAATCTGCCGAAGAACAACTATCAATTGAAAGGAAACGGCCAAGAAAACATAGCATTAATAGTATATTATAATAATAAATAAAATATATATTTACATAGGTCAATAACATTCATCTTCCCTAATATAAAAAATACTATCAACTTATAACACTAAAATTTGGTGCTGAACGTTCACAACTCATCATTCAAAATTCTTCTTTCCCTCCCCAGTCTTTTCACCTCATTACTCGATGTGGTTTGAGGAGCTTCACAAATGAAGTTGTATCTGACTGAGCAATCTGTTCCTCTGTATGCATAAGAACGTAGGGCAGGGTTGTAAGCAACTCGCAAACACCGCCCTTCACCGTAAATGGCTGCTGATGGGTTTTCCTTATTGTGCTGGGAGCCTGGAGCTGCTACAGGACGGGCACTATTGCTCCATATCCATAACAAACCTGGATTCAGGCCACCCACCCAGAAGTCTTTTCCTGAAAATTGTGTTAACATTTGTACAAATTTGTCACGTTTGAGAACAGAAAACACTGGTATAATTAGGATTTGCGTGGGATGAAGTAGGGTCAGTTAGTAGAATCAAACATGAAAAGGTGTGGATATCTATATCAACTCCCTTTTCCTATAAAACTATAGTTTTTTTAAACTTAAGTAGACAAGTGAATTAGTAGGCCCCACGTTGGGCGCCGAATTTACTAAGTACCTACTTATTCAAAATAATAATTCTAGGAAACAAGGCATGCGCTAAATGAATGAAAATGAAATTAAAAATAGTTGTGCGTGTACACTATTGAGTCGGATGAATTGCTAAGTTAATTGATTTCAGAGCACCATCACACAAATGCAGGAGATTTTTTTGGCTCAAGTATAGTCTGACTATTTGAAATAAAAATTAGGAACCTAGGTGATTTTTTGATATATGTACCTGATGGTTTGTAACTCCGATCAAAATATATATGTTATGGTGTAATAATAAATCAAATTAGTAAAACAACAATAAACTGACAGTATTCGTCAACGAAACATACCAACGAATAACAAAAAAAAATTGTTCAATGTCTAAACAGGAATAAATCCCAATAACAAGACATATTATTATTATTAACAAGCATGTTACAGTTTATATCTGCCTATATACACACAATACACATACATATATACATACATACATACACATATATATGAATACAATACTAATTTATCAACTAGAAACACCTGAAGCGAGTAAACAAAAAACAAAATAAAGTAAACATTTAGGAGAGTTAAGCAAAAAATTAGGTGGAACACTTGTGTGCAGCAAGCTAAGAAAGTCATTGAAAAAGAACTTAAGTCAGATATAGAGCTAACAAGTAAAAACATAGTTCAGGTGTATTACAAAAAAAACATAATTCAGCAGTAATACAGTAGGTAGTAGTAATAAGCTCACATGGTAGAATAACTTTCAATTTGGGCTGATGTATTTTGACGGACTAGAGTGTAAAAGTTTCTTAATGTGGTTCTTAACTTGACCAATAGGTTCATAATAAATGTCGAGATTTTCACAGAGTTGATTGTAAAGTTTGCTCATTGCAACAACTGGTGACTTGAGTAATATGTTTGTTCTAGAATTTGGTAGATAAAAAGTCAGTTCATTTCTAGAATTGATTCGGGACAGTCAATCAGATTGTTCACTAGTTTATAAATGAAAATTATAGAGTAGTAGGTTCTTCGGTTTTGAAAGGATAATAGATTAAATTTATTCAGTAGTATTCTGTTGTCGATGCCTTGTTCAGGGTAAACTCCTTCTAGCTTGTAAGTAATATATTTTATGAAGCCTCTTTGTATAGACTCAATTTTGTTTATGTGGACATTGTATATGGGTGACCATATAAGGGAGGGACCCTAGCATCCGTTTGGCTGAGCATGTTATTGTGTGCTCTTTTACTATCCAACCTCAATGAAGAAAAAAGAACACAGATAAGAAGTCCAGAATCGTAATAAACCTCATTATTATCAGAATCAATCGACTTATTTTGAAATGCAGTTATGAACGCTTTTTGAACTATAAAAAATCATTGCAAGATGACTTACATGAATTATTCATATATGTTTTGTGAATCTCAGTCAGAATCAAACCATTTCCAACTCTATATTTCGTTAATTTAGACCCGACTAGTATAAAATGTGCCTTTTTCATTTCAGTTTCAAACTACATATGCACTCGAATTATAAAAGTGCGATCTCCGTTTATTGAATTTTGAGCCATATCTATATTATATTGAACAAAAATAATAGTGCAAATTTTACCACTTTCAATGAAAATCTGATATATACAGACTAATAGAGTTGGTTCAAGCAAAGAGCTTTGTGGCGTACCATAATTCTATAGAAATATCTACAACCGTCAAGGATTATACGTTGACTGCGAATGCTAGATTTGAACAAATATGGACAGTTAACATTGTTTTAACTATTCCTTTGTCTACAGAAAGTTGCATTATCGACGAGTAATTTGATTCCTACGACATTTGCAAGGTATAATAAAATTGCCTGAAGGAGTCAATTATTTGGCGTGTGCACCCAAAATAGTAGTAAGTAATAAACATTCTACCTATAAAAATTGGTAAGTGATTCGACCAACAATAAAAAATATGTTTGTTTTTTATGAAGAATATAAATAGTACAACAACAATATGACGTGAATACTCACACCTGAAATAAACTTTCTTGAAAACTTCAAGGGCACATCGAGATTTACTTGTGATACACTGTTTGAAACCTTTAGTGTAGTGATGAATATTACTGGAGTTTTATTCCAACACCAAACCTAGCAGAGGTATGAATAAGGACAACATTGTATATAGATTTTAGTTTAATCTTCCTTTTGAAGATGATCACTTGGTGATTGAACCAAACGAGGTGTTAAAAATAACGGTTTGGTGTTGGCGAGATTTCAAAAACTAATTCATATACATGGGTTGCATAAATATGTTGATTTTTACAACTACACCCACCCTTGAAAAACTTCCAACTATTCAGTCAGTTACTCCACAACACATTTGTTACTTATTCTTTGAAATATTTTTTGTAGTGGATATAGCCTTCCACAATCTAAAAAATAAACAAAGCTAAATAAAAAGAGAATCTGCTAAAGTGTAATAACGGCTAAACCAAAAAGTTCACCCTGAAAAATTACTGTGTATTATAAACTAACTGATTGTTGCCCTCGGCTTCGCCTGCGTACAATTTGGTTTGTCACATTAGGTTTCGTGACAGACCATTTTAAACAAATTTATATTTTCACTTCAAAAATACAGTAACTGAAAAAATATGCCAACTGCACTAAGCTTATTAAGATATTCGCAAAATTAACACAACTGTCAACAACGTCTACCTTCACGCGTCAGCCCGCGTTCGGATTGTGTTCTCGGCGATAGCGCTTCATTGCTTAAACCGCCTCTCTACCCCCGCGCATCGTCAGCGGTCATTTACAGAAAGCTGTGACTTCCAGTATCAACCAACAGTCTGTTGTACTCTGCATTAAATTGATTTGTGCAATTGGCAATGTGCACAAGTCTATATGCAGTCCATCTAGCCTTTCTCTCCAGAAAAATGTGGAGAGGAGGTAGATCTAGAAGGATCTCCATAGCTGCTGACGGTGTGGTACTGATGGAACCACTGATGTCCAGACAAGCCTGTCTCTATAGGCCAGAGAGCTTCGCCTGAGCCATTTATTGTAAAGCCTTCGTCCACCTGGCAATTGCACCATAAGTGATCATTAGTCTGACAATCACCACATAAATCCAATGGATTTGTTTGGGACCTGAACCCCAAGTTTCACCAGAAATCTTTCAACATGTCCATAGGCACAGTCTGGCTTTGTGTAAAACTTTTTCCAAGTAAGCGTTTCAGGTGAGTTTTTTATCAAGGACAATGCCAAGATATTTCACCTCGGTTCCAAACGGAATGCCCTCACTATTTAGGGAAAGTGGCGTTAGATCATCCAATTTTATCCTCCTGGTGAAGGGGATTATCACAGTTTTGCTGGGATTGACAGACATCTGCTCCTTCAGGCACCAACTGTGAACAACGTCCATCGTGTTTTGGAGGATATTACAGGCTACCCTTCTCGATGTGGACCTTGCCAAGATGACAAGGTCATCTGCACAAGTTTGCAGATCTACTTTTTTTCTATCGAGGACATCAAGCAGACTCTCCATCAGGAGCGACCACAGAAAAAAAAGTTTATAAATTGTAGCCTACATGTTATTTTGATGTATAATCTGTATTTACGTGAAGTTTCATCTAAATATACGTTCAGTCGTTTAGGCGTGAAAGAGCCACAAACATTCATACATACATTTATCCATTTCCACATTTACAATATTAATAGACTGGCTTCTTTATTAACATAGCTTTGTTTATTTTCCAGATTGTGGAAGGTTATTTACCCAAAAAACAGTAAGAAACATTAGTTACTATCTTAGAACTTACCTCTCAAATGTTGATTGCTTTGTATGTAAGTAATCAGATCCTGGTTCTCTTCAATGGTTTCCATTTCAGCTAGAAACCCTCCAAGTTTTTTACAGTGTTTACTGGCTACTTTCCAGTCGTATTCCCTGCCTGTAGCACTGTGCACGTGATAACAGTTTGATCCAACTCTTGTAAAATTTTCTCTACAAGGTTCTGAAAAATGTTCAACAATCTATAGTTAAAGATATAAATCGTGGATGATATAAAGTGACTGTATCAAATTATCATATCTATTCGTGAAACATAGCATGCCTAATTAGGTAACAACTTTTGTTTCCATCAGAGAAGTTTTACTGAATTCCAGATTCAGCAATGTTTAAATGATTCTTTAATTTTTTCGTTCCGAAATCACCATTATTTCGATCAGTTTCTTACCGGTATCAATTCTATTGCCAGCCATTGTATAATACAACATTTCCTCGACTCTCCTCAGTCTCTTCTCCATAAAGTCCACCTTGTAAACCAATTTTTCTATAGCTCCTAGCAGATAAAGGTCAGTTTCTGAAACTTGTCGGCCTGGTGGTTTTTTATTTGGTACCGTATTGCCAGTTGAAACTATTTTTCCAGGTGTACTAGGTACAAGTTTGGTGCCCCTCGTATAATTGTCGGTTCTATCATCTGCCACGTAAGAATTGGGTGATATGGGTATCATCATGATGCGTCCTTGCCTTCACAAAGAAATAATTATGGTTCACTAATGATAATTGTGACCTGAATACACATTCAATTGTTGAATAGACATAGTTAAAAAAAAACAGAAATTTATTAGGAATAGTCCTAGATTTCGAAAGAAAGCAAACAAATTGACTACATCAACACTTTTTGAGAATTTGTTATAGAAGGAAGGAATTGCAAACTTCATTATTTCCATTCTTTTTATTGATCACCATCAACAACTGAAATTTAAAAGTAGGTAGTACCGCCAGTAGACACCCATGCATAACATGAAATCATTTATTTTTCAAAATGCGTCACACACAGTACCTGCTCCTGTGCCCTGTTGGAATAAACCTTTCCAGATAGGAAAAACTAAAAAATTAGCAATCGATAAGGGAAAAGTTTTTATATCGACATAATTCAGTCGAAAATGAATGAATGCATGACCTTCTAGGATTCACAAAATTTTTATTTATTTTTGTGAATAAATTTGGCTCAAACTGTTTACTATCGATTCGTCAGAAACTTTTACTCTTTGAAAAAAGTCTCAAACTTAGATAACACATATCAAATTTGAAAAACATCGTTTAATCATATAGGGGGAACCAAAAAGCAGTATTGGTGCAAGAGTAAACTACCCTTATATTTCCAAACACAGATCGATATGTCGGCCCTGATCGATATGTCGGCCAGAGAACAAACACATGACATCACCGCAAAAGGAATGCAGTCGGCAACCGCCGATTAAACTCTAGTTGATACCGAAACGACTATTTCATTTGAGAGTTACTGTATAATAGATATGTTAATGAACTATTAATATTATTTATTATCATTAACTAAGTTCTGAGAATCCTTTATAAATCCCGATGTCTTGAGGAATTGGAAAATTTAAGAAGTCTTTTTGGTTTCGAAATAAACCTATGTGTAGGTTTGCTATACAAGTATTACCTAGGTAGATACAAAGTGAAAAAATTAAACCTAGGTAAACAAAAAATTCAAAGCGGCTCTGCAAATACGCCATTACGAAATTATAGCTCCAAAATAATTCTAATAAAAAGTAAGTTCAAAAATTCAACTACTGAAAAATAACACGCTAAAAATGGGAAAATATTATAGGGAAATAAATGTGTTGGCTTCCTATTAATCCAACTTTATACAAAAAATGTGAGTTTTTTCTTTTCCTGAAGGTCAATATTTTTCAACTTACTCGAGAGTGAAATTGTCAATTTTCAACCATCAAACCCACTGTTTTCGTGAATAACTTAAAATTTAAGTCCCTATTTTATCAATAAAGTCATTCTAAATAGGAATGTATATTTGACAAATCCAGAAGAATGGTGGATTTGTGAAGTTTGTAAACCCAATAGAACGTAGTGATAGCTATATGCCAAAATTCAAATTTTAAAAGTGAAGTAATCACAAGAAAATGCACTTTTCAGGAGAGAACCTGAAAAACTTTCCCTTTTTTAAGTTCCTAGCAATAAAGCTGAGCGTCTTAGGGCGAAAATAGGGTTGCTTCCTATGTTTTCCGGCCACAAAAAATGTGAAAATCACCCCATAATTACCACCCCAACTGAAAATAATCATTACCACTTCACAGTTCACTCCATTTATGATCTTCGAATATGGCCTAAAAGTTTTACTTCGAATTAAACAAAAACTAAAAACTGGAGCATCGGTAAAACACATTCAAATACACTTCAAACCGGTCAAACTTCTAGAGCATATTATAACTGTAAAGTGGGTCAAAACAAGAACGTTTCCCAATTACTTTTCCCATAAAACTGTTTTCCTCATCGTCTGAAGACAGTAGCGTAGCCAGGAACTTCGTTCGGGAGGGCGTCCAAAACCATAGGGGTCCGGGGGTATTCCCCGGGTAAATTTTTGAAAAACAGGTTACTAAATAGAGGATTTTGAACTAACTTCATAATCGAAGAATCATATTTCAATGAAATCTTTTAAAAATTCATGATTTTTCAATATTTTAATTTTTTATGATGAAGCAAAGTAATTGTGTTCCATACAACTAAACATAAATATAGTGTTATAGTTTGTCCATAGTTTCAAACTCTTTTTTCAAAAACATGAGTTGAGCTAGAGATACAACAGTCTAGAGCAATAGTTAAAATATATTTATAACGTTTAACATTACATAAATTATTTTAACAAAATAATGTTCTAAGTTACAGCACTAATCTCCTATTTCCACTTCTGGAAAAAACAAACCAATAATGGTATGATAATTTAATGTTTATAGGCAAGGTCCAGACCCCCCCACCGCTACGCCACTGCCTGAAGACGCCAACTTTGTTAGTGAAACGCACTCCGAGAAAAGGGCTTGTTTTGGATTCATTCTACACCAAAGGTTCCAGTTTTGCCTTTCATGATATAAAGTTGTAATTAATATTTATGGAGTGCTAATTAGGAGACGATTTCCACATTTTTTTATCGTCGCAAAAAATAGGGATCAATAACTTTTGTCATAACTTACTTACTTTCGATGAAAATTACTTTTATGACAAATAGAAAAGGTTTTTTCGAGTACCTCAAAAAAAGATCTATGAGTTTTTCCCGAAAAATGCATTGTTTTTTGGTTTCTTCAGTTTTGGCGTTTGTCGTATAAGGACAAACCTTTAACAAGCTAATTACTCTATATGTATTGGAACTATAAACACGTGGGTTTATTGGTTGAAAAATTGCACTTTCACTCGCGAAGTATATCGAAAAATATTTACTTTCAGGAAAAACAAATTATAGAACGAAATTTTTTTGGAAATATTCAATCTATCCATTCCCCGACTTTTTTTTTAATGTAACATTTTTTACCCCAGAGGAGGAGTGGCATCCAACTCCAGGGTAAAAACAACCCCGATACAGGGTTCACTTTGAAGTAGAAGGTAAGTAGGGTCTGAATCTAAATCTGTATGAACATTGATGCTGTTTGCCAAAATTATGTCACTTTCTCCTTACAGTCCTTTGGACTATTAGGACATAGTGGCGTACGACCACGGCTATCCTCTGTACATCACAATGGATATGTGAGTATTAAAAATTGTTTATATATAATACGTGTATGTTGTTTATTTAATATTCGATAAATATTGAATGGTTTTTATATACCTTACAATTTCAGATAACAGATGTGAATAATTATTATTTCATACTTACTTTTCAAGACGGATTTCCACTAAACTATACTTGAGTTGTCGTAGTAAGAAATATTTGGAAGACTTTCTGTCGACTGTTTTCGCCAATAACGAAATGTTCCTTCGGCAGGCGGAAAAATCAAAAGGTGTCTGTGTTTTGTCTGTGTTTTTGTAAACAGAGTTCGCTATATGGAAACGGTCGGCGACAACAATAAGCAACTATTCAGTTTACTATTTTGTTTTGGTGTGTGACTTATATGACATTATTAATTAATCTGAGGTGGGTATAAATTTCGATGATTCCTTTCTCCATTTTTTCCTTTGTCATCATTTATCAAATCTACCAAAATTTTATCCGTTATATAATCTCTTCGTCTTCTCAACAATGATCTCATCCAATAGGTACCTATCTTGTATTTTTGGCTTTCACTCAAAAAATTCGATTATAAAAAAATCGCAGGCCATTACAAAAACATCGTTTAGAGAAGGCATGATGGAAACTGTTCGTGTAGTGAAAACGACAGAAAACATTTCACATCAAAACACTCTACTCAGACTAGTTTTTGTCCGTCGGTGGAATTCGAGTTTGTTTTCGAAACTAAAACAGGTTTTTTGTTTCTGATTTTGAAAACAAAACTAGTCGCAAGCGAGTCCGTTTGGTGGAAAACCGCCTTCAGAGCACAACTTTTCAGTAGACATGCAGGCTTCAGTTTTTGAACTTACCTACTTTTTACGCCCTACCCACTCCTACGTAAATATTTCATACTCATGTTTGAACGTTTTTCCAACTATATATTTTTTTCGGGCATTCGACTTTTCTTTTTGTCACTTTAACTTACAGATAAACATACGAATTATAGAAAAGTTCCCGTGTGGAAATCATTTTGGTGTAGTATCTTACAATATTTTTTTTTGATTGATGCAACTAATTTTCCTTTATTTTGAGTATTTCAATATTAAATTCTACAAAAAGGATTTGAAGCTTTATATCTTCTATTAATTATCTGCGAGCGCTTTCGACAGTTGGTAGTACTGTCATCTTCTGGCACTCCTGGCACTCCTTGAGGAGTGCCAGAAGATGACAGTACTACCAACTGTCGAAAGCGCTCGCAGATAATCAATAGAAGATATAAAGCTTCAAATCCTTTTTGTAGAATTTAATATTGAAATATCTTACAATAATATTCAACAAACTTCTGGTCTTGACAGATTTTATTGTCCTTAATATTCTAAGTAAATGAAACCTAAGATATCTAAATAATTAATAAGCAATAAAATTTCATTCAGTACCACACGTTCTACACCAAGTCTTTCCCAATTGAACGAGGTGAAAATCGTAACTATATACTTATTTTCTCTTTTGAAAATATCAACCGAAATAGGTTCAGTAAGTTATAAATTAAGGTTCCAAGTATATGGGGATTTTAACATTGATTACCTACATAGTATATTATCTTAATTATATACCGGTCATTTTCTTTGGGAAAAATACCATCCCGCATCACGCAAAATATCATGAAAAACTCACCTGTAGTTTCCCGAAATTGCCCAGTCTTCCAATAACGGCCACCAGATACCCTCGTTTTGCTCCACATCGTTTTTTTCTTTTCTCCGCACACTTTCTGTGTCACAGTTACAGTTCGAAAAAAACCAATAAAATAACAAGAGAGTAATCGTCATTGCGCTCATGGCACACTTTAAAACGGATGATTTGGTTGGAAGGCTGACTCATGAATGAAGAAAGTGAAGAAACTGATAAAATAAATGTAAATGAGAGGACACTCTCTCTTCCACAGATCCGTTTACCGGGGTAGATCGATATATTACGTAAGTTTGTTGTGGGTATTTCCAGTGAGACTGTAGGTAATTGTCGAATGACAAGGAAATACAATGAGTATTATGTTTGTTTGAAGGTGGTTGACAATATTTCGTGGTGCATTTCATTAATGAAATGAGTATTATGACCAACAATATCAATTTTTCATCATTCATCAAGTAACAGATTGGGAATTAATTGGGGAACCCTCTGGATTCAAGAATAATAACACTATAACCACAAGATGTTTACCCCGATTTATTATACAGGGTATAGCAAACGTCATGGTTCTAAAAATTTATTGACTTTTACAATTTTAACGTATTCTCATATATATTCACTGAAAGCGAGTTCAATTTCGAGACCCAAAATCAAAAAATTCCTTTAATAAAAAATTGAAATATCACATCTACATTTCATTGTTCATCACCTGAAGGGCGAAGTGTAAATGGCTTGCTCTTCGTTATGGAATCGCCCTCAACAGCCCCACTGAAAGGAGACGGTGAGAAACGATCCCCGACTAAGGCCGGGACATACCTGTCATACACCTATCAAATCCAACTCCCATCATACAGTCGGACGAGTGTCTGAGAGGGAAATGGTACTTCAGTCCGAAAAGAGTAGTTCACATCGTTCCGATACGTGGCCAACTCCGCTTTTGGGGCAAAATTAAACCGGAGTCGGATCGGAGAAATGTATGGAGAAGTGTGTCCCGGCCTTAAATAATATGAATAATCTAACTTGATGACCAATCGGGCCGTACTATTAAGAACTCCACAGTTTTTGTAGGTACAGCATATATTTAATTTTTTTTATTCAAGAACACAAATTTTTTTGAACGATGAGTCATTCAATAGCCAGTTATATCAGGCATTCTTTCAAGATGTAGTTGGAATGTGATATTTTAAAGCCATGTGTGACAGTAGATCAATTACGTAAACAATGAATAAAATTGGTCCTAGAATAGTTCCTTGTGTTACGTCACTCCTTAAAAGTTCTTGACTCAGTATTGTTATAGTATATCACCCTGCAGGTACGATTTTATAATACTGCTACGCACAGTGTTACGATCTTCGTTCAGATTCGAAGGCCGTCGTGGTTTGGAACTGTATCTTAACTATCCGCCAGCACGAGTGGCTGGCTTCTTCAGAGGTCTATTCATCCTGATGGTTCACCTATGACTAGTGATTTCTAGTTCGTAAACTGTATTGTTGACACAGGTAGCCCGCTTTTCTAGTTGGTGCGTTGCTATTGGCCGAAGTGTTATTACCTGTTACATTGCGTTGCACTGCTGCCACTTTAGCATTTTTTGGTATGGGATTCCAAATCCGGTTAGGCGATATCACCTCCTCTTTTCTGTTGTAGTTTTCTGTATGTTTATGGATTTCTATGGGTTCCCGTACAAGCCGACTGCGATATCCATGATCGGGTGCAAGTAGTTTCACATCTTCAAACAGTATCTTATGATCACCTTCACTAAACGCGTGTTCCGCTACTGCCGATTTTTCTATTTGTATTATCTATAGTTTCTCTGACGTTCATTCAGCCTTGTACCCATGGATATTTTGGTGGTATCGATATAAACTTTTCCGCAGGTGGGCTTGTACACTGTTTTTATGTTATGCTTCCTTAGGATTTTTCCGATTATATCTATAACCCTAGGGATGTACGGTAGAAACGCACGTGCAACCGTTTCAAGTTTCCTCCTTGTTTTGACTTGTAGAAGTCTTCAGTTTCATGGACTTGTTGATCTCGGTTGCACTGTATCCACTCGATCTTAAAGCCACTTGAAGATGTTCGAATTCTTCTTGTAGATGTTCCGGTTCACATATTCTACGGGCACGTTCCGTCACGGTGTTGATAATTCCCCGCTTTTGACTTGGATGATGGTTCGAAAGTGTATGCAGATATCTGTCCGTGTGTGTCGGTTTTCGGTATACTTTATGTGTTAATCTTGTGCCATACCTTTCGACGAGTACATCTAGAAAAGCTATTCGTTGTTCCTGTTCAGTCTCCATGGTGAACTTGATGCTAGGGTGTTGAGCATTTATGTGGTCTAGAAATAGGTTCAGTCTGTCCCTCTCATGTCTCCAGATAACGACTACCTGTGTCAACATTAATACAGTTTACGAACTAGAAATCACTAGTCATCGGTGAACCATCAGGATGAATAGACCTTTGAAGAAGCCAGCCACTCGTGCCGGTGAAATGTTAGAGGATACAGTTCCAAACCACGACGGCCTTTAAACCCGAACGAAGATCATAACACTGAAAATCTTGGCCGCGAAAGCCTTAACTAATTTACTGCTACGCACAACTCTAATTTGCTCAAAAACTGACTTCTACTATTTAGAAGTTATCGATATATGAAATGAATACGGCAGTTTTATAGCTAAGCTGTTAGTTTGTTTACATTGAAAATTCACATAATTTGTTTCACAGTTTTTATTAGCAAATTTACATAAGAGTTCACACATTTTACATTCAATGAATATTTATATATATAAAAAATAGATTCAAAAATATACTGTCAAGTTCGTATTACTTTGTAACTTTGGCGTACTTTCCGGTTCATTTACATGTTCAGCGCTTCCTGCTTCATTCTGAAAAGAACAATGTCGTTGATAATAATAATCACAAATGAATTTGCAGTACTGTTAATAACATGAGGTGTGAGTAAAGTTCTATGAAAACAAAATATAACGTGACTTGCGGACTATAAGATGAACCAGCCGTGTGTTATGAAACATATTCACAACACCCGAAAGTTCAACCGGATTTAAGTAACCTGGATCTTCCTCAAATAGTGATGAAAATAAGGAACATAAACAGATATGTAAATTATGTGATTGGCCAATTTAAATTGTTTTGTAAACCGGTCCAAATGAAAGTTATCCATTGTCAGGTTCAAATTTCGCGGGGTACGTTTATTCGATTAGCGTTTTTTTTTGTTTTTTAATGTTGGTACACTCGTCTTGAACATATGTTCACAGTTTCAACTGTTTAGCGTGTTCAGTTTGTTAGTGAGAGGCATTGAAGTTAGAAGTTGGTAGAAAAAATAAATTTGGTGCTTAAAAACACTTGAAACGTTGACAGTGGCATACGGTGATTGTACTTTGCGACATACAAATGTTTACAAGTTGTACAAGTTTTTCACAGAACACCAAGAAGATGTGGATGACGCCCCAGCACATCAACAACCGATGAAAATGTTGAGAAAGCAAAGAAAATTGTTATGGAGAATCATCGAATCACTATAAGAGAAGTTGCTGGGGATGTCAATATCTGAAAAAATAGTGTACCATAGAATGCTATGGAACATAGGAATGAAGGCTTTCACGGCTGGCGTCAACGTTTTGCTTGGTTTCTGAGTATTCCCTTGGTCTTCTTTGGTTACAATCTCAAACGTTTCAACTGCAACTGCGGCAGTCATATTCAGTGTCGTAGTCGAATTATTCTCCTTGACGTATCACTGAATATGACTGTCACAGTTGCAGTTGAAACGTTCGGAGATTGCAACCAAAGAAGACTACGGCAAAATCCGGAAACCAACCAAAACATGCTATGGAATAATTGACACTGTCTTGAGTCACTAGAAGTACTACTATTAAAAGTTTGAGTAGTTGAAAGAAATCAAAACAATTTGATAAAAGGACAAAACACAAGCACTACAGGAAAATCCTTGAGGCGCTCTCAGAGCGGTGCCTGTGCGAAAGTAACGATTCACATTGGATTTGTATCGCTGGAGATTAGATACATTTGGAAAAACGTTCTCAGGAAGTTTATTCCACATGAACACAGTTCTCCAGATGAAAGAGTTCTCAAACAGTGAAGTTTGAGGTGTACTGAGTTAAACCTCAAAACGATGAGCAGCCACAGTCCGTCGCGTATTTCTGATATTTACCGCTCTTGATGGAATCAAATGGTCCAAGTCACTTGAACACCTTCCGCGAAAGTATCTATAGAAGAGAGACAAATTACAAATCTCCAACCTTTCTTCGATGTTCCAGACTATCACGGTTGCACGTGATGTTCGCGTCTCTAATCAGGCGGATGGCTCTTTTCTAGATGAAATCCAGCAACTTCATAGTATGTTTGGGGGCAGAGCTCCAAACATGAGAACAATATTTCAAGAAGGTCTGATATGATCTTTATAAAGCATTAAAAGTTAGTGAGGTGTGTATAGTTTTCTGGTTCGGAACAGTGTTCCAAACTTTTGAGAACCAGCCTTTGCAATTCCAGCGACATGATTGTGCCAAGACAGTTTGGTGTTCATTTCAAACCCCAACAAACTTATCGAAGCAGAAAGCAGAATTGTCTAACCTGACATATATTTATCATGTTGGAGAAAACGGATGCCTGGGGTTTTGTGGCATTGGATTGAACTTGGTTACTTTCAGCCCAATTCGAAATCACTTCTAGATCCTCTTTATGATATGCAACCTAATATGCAACCTCCTGCTGCCGGTGAAGATGTGCCTCCGTAGCCGATGTCCTGGAATCCAATATAATATATTCCATGTTCTTTACTGATCTTTCGACGCCTGTTCAGAATGGGTTCAATGGGTTTTTTTTCCGTTGTCCAATGGAGAGATTACCTCCGAACGTTTAGCCCATAACCACGATGGGCAAGTTCAGCGGTGGTTGGCAGCATCGCGTTGCGACCTCCTCAAAATATCAATATAGAATATTATTATAAAATCCGAGACAGAATACCAATAGAGATCCGATGACAAAACTTAACTCTCCTGGAATTTATCGAGAATCCCATATAATTCAAGTTAATGCCTTTTCCAAACAATCACTTCTCCCAACGTTACTTCTTCCCAGGATCCGATGAATGCAGTAACAGTTCCATCTCGTGAATAAAGCCTCAAGCGGGAAAAATCATGCCATGTACTAACATTTCAACATAAATCAAATCAAAAATTCCTAGTAAGGAAACTTGCATGAATGTTTGATATTAGCCGGGAAAGTAGTCGTTCGTAAGTGGTTGACAATGTTTCATGGTGAATTCTATCAGTTCGGAATTCCACTGTCTAATATGATTCTATTATGATTCGAAATCTATGAAAGAAAAAATATATTAGAATATATAGCTGAAATGTAACTTATATTAAGTAATAAAATCTGAAATGAAAATACATTGAAACGAATAAAATATTCAAGATACAAAATGAAAATGATCACAAAGTAGAAAGAAATAAAAAAAAAGAAAATGAGCAAAACCTCACAGCCTCACGAAAACGAGGCCACCAAACGCGAACTGCGATTCCAAGAATTGCATTTAACCTGCGAGTTCGCATTGACGAGCACAAGAAACATACACGGCGAGGAGAAACCAGCAAATCTGGAATAGTAGAGCATGTTTCGATTCCTTACGTTACAGCAAGTGCTCTCAAACTGAAATCATCCACAAGGAGAAACACTGGTTTAAGAGAAAATTCAAAGAAGCCGCATATATGTTGTCCAACAACGCATTTAGCCAAGCTAGCGTTAAGTTACGCAATATATGGAAACCCATAATCAAGCGAAAAACAGCCGCCAAACAGTCAGCTTCCGCCAAACGGTCAGCTCCCGCCAAACGGTCAGCTCCCGCTAAACCGATGAAGCGGAGACAGAGAAGAAGGGATGAGTGAAAGCACTCGCATGACCTATAAATAGTCATCTCTCGGAGAAATAGTCCAGTTATCACCCGAAGACGATTGTGGATAGTAACAATCGAACCGTCGTGAAGTAACTTGGCTTGAAAACTTTTAATTTGGATATTTCATTTCTTGTTAATTGTTCAATGTTCAATTGTTGCTTTTATTTTATTTCATTGTAATCTCAGGTTTTTTTTGCTTTAAAAATTCCTGAAAATATTTTTTTTCTGATAAACTATGTTAAATTTGGAAATGATTATTTAAAAAATTCTCATCTTTGTCGTTTCTAATCATTCGTTTTTATTTAGTTTGGCAACAATACTTGACGTTGAGAGGCAATCGCAACCGGGGAATCTCCGGTGAGAAACCTCGGGACTTCCCCTTAATAGAAAACCAATCAAAGTATCACAGGCAGATGCAATCTCCCTCCATGTTCCTATAGTATAATTTCTAATAGTATTTGATGTGAGAATTGAGAATAAATGATAGTGTTACATAGTTTCAAAACGATAACAAGTGTTTAATAAGTAGAAATTCGGATTGTGTCCTGAAGAAAAATAATAGCATTTGTCTTCATTGTACTCACACTCATTTTTTTATAGTTTTCGTTACAAAACATTACATGGTTAAAAATTATGTCTAGATATAATTTATTTCACTGGAATTGCTAGAATCCACCTTTTTTTTTCGTTGTGTGTATTATATTGTATTAAACATATATTACGTGAAATATTGACGTGAATAATATACAAAGTAATATTATTATTATGTATTATATTCATCCAATTTTCATTCAAACTCATTAGTCCAATTCTTTATAAGTTAATTATAGGTACCTGAAAAAAGAGAAAATTACCATCAAACGGTAATGGTAATTTGGTTGGTAATTTGGTAATGGTAATTATTTTTTTAACAGGTTACGGACAGAATATTGGTGCATTCTTTCTAATTTATCAATCATGTCAGTCTTAGGCACTAAAAAAGATAGAGATAAAGCAAGAAAATGGGAATCTGGTTCAGCAAAAAAAGAAATTTGTTGTTTCTTTAACTGAAGTGAGTAAATAACAGTACATCAGTGACTTCGACTGGGGTTTTAATACGGCTACCCAGACATTCTTTTTTTTATCACTTTTGAGTCGATTTTTTTTTATTTTCAATTTTATTGTTTACTGTTCCAAAAAAGTACACAAGTAGAAGTTTTGATGTTTCTTAATGAATGAAAAATTGTTTTATTCGATTTTTTTATGAACCCTTCTTCTTGCATCACCAGAGGGCCTCGCGAAATGTACCTTGCCCACATTAAATTTAGATCTTGCGCCGCCACTGTTCTTTTCCGGCAGGTATTTACCAGATCCTACTGGGTTGAAGGTTGAGAGAGATGAATGGTTCGAAAATTAATCAAGGAATATTTATTTTCTTGTTTTCTGAATAATTTTGAAAACCTAGTAAGTCAAGTACTACAAACATTTTTTCAAGTAAAATTTTCTGATTGATAAAAACTGCTAAAACTTGTTTTTCAAAAACCGCTATAATCAATACTCAATACAGGAACATTGAAATATATGGATATTTTTAGCTCATCAGTTCTTCGGGAACCGGTGGAGGTTCAGGAGGCACGACTGTCAAATTTTTCCCGGCTGATGCACATCCGAAGAGCCACACGGTATATAGCCTGCTGTGACCCTCGAACCTATTCTTTGCATAATGTGCCGTTTGCAAAAACCGCAAACAAATCACCAAAGCAACTTGCAGAATGATGAACAATACCAAGTTTCCAACTATACCCCATCCCACTTCTTTCGTTTTCTTTCTGAGTCCATCGTAACAGCCTTTGGTAGAAATACTGAGGTTTTGCTCGGGGGTGTACAGATATGCTTTGCCGGTGGTTTCGATATTGTGGTGGATGCAGGGGAAGATCGAAGATATCGAACAACAGCTGAAGGGAGTGTTTCCTTGGGTGTTGTCTGTTGCTGCTTTTTTCACCAAGCTGGTATCGTACCATTTTATGTTGTACCACTCGTCGTATTTCTTGCTTCCACAGCATTGGAATTCAATCTGCAACCTTTGAAAAAGAAAATGAACTTTCTAGGGTACAAATGATTCACAACCCTAGAATATAATGTCAATATCTTCAACTACTACGAAACGGAACTTTTAATAATTGCCTGAATACATCATCATTCAACTGCATAATATGAGATGACAAAGCTTGAGGTATTGTCAGTTGAGAAAATGCTCGAAATGGTTGCCTTAAACTTCTTGCTATATGAACAGCCTATCCGATATTTCACGCCGAACATTTTCGAACACAGTAACGTCAATATCTCTACAAATATTGATTTCAATTTTTTGAGTTGACCCGTTCAAAAAATAAAAGGGGGGGTATTAAAGAAATGCCCTGTATAAGGTTTTTGTGCGGAAAGTGTAGCCTCCCTTATAGTCCAATAGTTGTTTGATATGCTACCATCTTCTCGCCAACCAAATCACCAAGAGACTCTTTATTAGTTTTTTAGGAACCAACTGCTGGGTTAATCGTCAATGCTAATGATTGGCATCCAAGGAAGGATTTTTTAGTGAGTAAACCTTGGATGCATGTCTAGTATTGCACCTTTTGCTCTAATAAATGAAGGAACAATCAATTAGTACCATTACTGGTAGTTTCATCTATGTCTTCAACTATCGAGGAATCATTTAATTGGTCTGTATACCTACATATCTACAACCCAGTTTTTGACTTAGTTCTGAATAGATACCTGATGAAAATATTCCTATAAGAATCATACCTGTCGATTCTTTTCTTGTATAAAGAATTGCCAGAGTAATTATTCATCGCTTCGACTATCCCATTGTGCAGACCTTCATTCTCTGAATATACGTGGCTGAGAACGACTATTAGTAAAATAAACGTTATGCATATCAAAGCCACGGACATCATGAGCAAAATATACAAAAACCAATTGAATTTATTCTGCTTCTTCCGATCGAATATTTTAAAGATGAAAAAAACGAATGCCACGTCCACCAGAAAGAAACACAGCACTGGTATAGCTTGGAGTACAGGCAACTTCGATCCATCTCCTTCGGACACCATGTTTATGTATTGCCCGAGGTGTTTTCTGATTCCAATCGAAGAGGCGAAGAGTTTCAGAGAGAACAAGATACATAAAATAATCAGAGAGAGGCTCATGGCGGTCAATAGTTTGATGGTGCGGAAAGTTACATCGAATTCGGGTCTACCACATTTCACTGCCACTAGTTTTGCAGGTTTTTCTTCATCACCACTCGCTGGTTCGCTGAGTGTTTCGGTTTCCTGAGATCTTGAAGGTTTAGTCCTGGGTAGTATTTTACCAAATTCAATTTTCACTTTTTTTCGCATAGTTGTACATTGACAGACAATCTGACAGCTGCTGACTAATTGAACTTAAGTCATAATTCTGTCTTGGTGGAGTTTTCCACACAAGATTCCAGCTTCGACTAAAGTGTAATGATAACGATTGTTTCATGTAGTTTGCTGTTGACTTCTGCATTTCTCTAGCCCTGCATATTATTTCTAACTCTGGAATGTTGCAGTTCAAATCACCAGTTTAATGTAGCACTTTGTTAGGTTATACTTTGGTCCGGTTTCTCCACTTACTTAAATCAGTTTTAACCAACTTAACAAGCGTTTTTATTCATTATAATCTTGTTACGATTAAACTGTATATTTTTAGGGAAAGAAAGTTTTTGGTTTTAGTTCGAGTCGGGCATTCGTAGCGATCAGATGTATTGAGACGAAAGTGAATAGTACTGAACTAAGTTCTACTGTGAACAATAAAAACTACCTAGGAGCAAAAACCAAAGTTTTTATCAGGATAACTCGTGTGCAATGCACGCAAACTAATCTTTTATTTTCAGATAAAAATTTCTTGTGCCATTGAAAGATGGACCAAATAATAGAGAAACTGGCCGATGAGAATCGCCAACTCTGGGAAGTGAACAGAGAATATGATAACAACATTACTAAACTGATGGAGGAACTTAAAAGCATGAAAGCAAGGATATTGGAACTGGAGAAAGGAAAGAAAAAGAAAGACAGCGAAAAAACTACGAAAGAAAATGAAAAATCACACCCTGAAAAAGGGACAAACAAAGACAACGAAAATACACTCCCTGAAGAAGGGATCCGAAAACAACAAAAAGTAAGTGACAAAGAACACCCTGAAGGAGGTAATAATAAAATGGACTCGCGAACCTCCTAAAGGCCACGCGGCCCAGCAGAGAGTACAGAATCCGATTCGGAAGACGGATTCGAAAAAGTAGATAAGAAGCCAAACTGACGCATTAGACGGCGCTTAGTGCAAGAGACAGCGGAAAAAGCAAAAAAACGACTAACATGAGGCCATAGACACGTTGACACAGAAAACAGTTGCCATTGAAGAAATGGTGCCAACTACTGAAAATAAAAAAGCAGAAGCATCGATCAATAATGTGCCAGCAACTGTGCCAACTGAAAAAGTATGACCAACAAATAAAGAAGTGCTGCCAACCGCTGGCAGCTGGCAGCTGGCAGCTGGCAGAAAAAATCTTCGCACTGAGAACGTGCGTGAAATGTGGTGAAAACCACGAGAGCCGAGACTATAAGAAGACCAGGGATATGCCAACGAAATGCGCTAACTGTCTGGAACCACATCCGGCGAGCTACAGGGGGTGCAGAATGTTGCCCAGATCATCGAAAACAGCATGGAACAGGCCCAGACAAGTGGAAAGTCAGAGGCCTAGACAACAGCCGACAGCCAAAAAGACACCACCGAAGGCGCGGACAGACAAAAGCAGCAATGGCCTAATGAATGTATTAGGAATTCTTTCGACCGAGCAGCAGAGGATCGCGCAAGCGGTATTAGCTGCATTACTACACGCACCTGGAAAACAATGCCAGCACGGATTCCAGAATGATTAGAATCGCTAAAAATAGGATCATGGAACATCAACGGTGCCACAGAAAGGAAAAACGAGCTCCCAGAACTGTTATCACGGCTGAGCATAGATGTCATGGCAATCCAGGAGATAAGGATACGAAGCAACAAGAACTTCCGCATCCCAGGAAACACAACATACAGGACAGATAGGCCAGGTGGGCGCCACGCCGCATATCAAATAATTCCAATTCATATCTCGCGCAACATAAAGACAGAAAACCGGAACGACAATTCGGAGAAGCAGTGTATTGAAAAAATCTTAGTATATGCATAATAATTTGACACAGTTTGTGGAGTGTAAACACTTGTGTTTGACTGAGTTAGTGTGTATAGATTTTTCACAGTAAATGCTGAGTGGCTAGCTGAATACTTCTTAGGCAAAACAGAGAAAACAACAGGAGGAACACTGAGTCTAGTACAAAAAATGCAAAAATTTCCATGACTTTTGATCGACCGACGTGAATAAAAATAAAATAAAAAATCATCCAAACATGTTGGAAGGGCCATGTAGTGGTTTTCATCAAGATATCGACGTGCATCTTTTCGAGATCTTCACATTTTCAAAGTCTGAAATCTCGAGGAAAAAGTCGAAATGAAATTAAATCTTATAGTGTGGCTCTTCTACGGCTTCGTACATACCGAATTAATTTAAAAAACAAATCATAACTCCTTATTTCTCATTGGCGATTGCACATTTTTGGTACATGAACTGAATTACTCACTCGATCGTCACCCCAACTCAATTTCTTCACCCTGTTAGAAGCGTCCGACGAAGGCCACACAGGCGGAGGTTGAGGGGCGGGGTGCACTTTCGGACTGGGTATCCTCGACTTCATCTCGCTGGAAATCCCGCCCAAGGCAGATGCAGTTGGCGTCCCAGATCTGCCACCGAACATGGGGTTGCTGATTTTTTTGGCACCACTAACGGGGGCCTGTTTTTGTGATTGAAAGGATGCTACTTCCGAGTGGGAATTTTTCTTACTGCAAAAAAGTATTTCAAATATTCTTTATTGTGACAACTTAATGTATAAAAATTAAAGCTGAGTTGAAATCACAAGTGTATTCCTTCAGACACCCTTCATTAAATACACAGTTATCCTCTAAAATTTTAATATGGTCAGGTAAATGATTAAACATCTTGAGACCATTATAGTCTTTGACTAGAGTAGAGGCTAGTATGGGTAATCTTAGGTCGTTATATTGATGAAGGGCATAATAATTGGAGTAACCACTGAATATAAATTTGTGTTTGTTAATCAAACATACTTTTTCTAAAATGAAGATTCCAAAAACTGTCAAGATTTTATGTAATTCAAATAGTGGTTTGCAGGAGTCTTGACTTTTGGCATTGCACACGAATCTTATAGCCCTTTTCTGAATAATGAACACCGTCTGCATTTGAGTTTTGCAACATACTCCCCAAAAAGGAATTCCATACCTTAAATGCGACTCAACAAGTGAGAAATAAGCCGATTTAGCGGCAGACAAACCATGATCCTTATAAGTTATTCTCACTGCAAAACACCCTGAAGCTAGCTTTTTATTGAGGGTTACAATGTGATCAGCGAATTTGAGTTTATTATCAATTATTACCCCCAAAAATTTAGTACTAGGTCTGTCTTCAAATATCCTGTCCGTATCCTGTGTTGGTAAAAGAATGCTGTCAATAAAGTAGCGGAATGATTTTAAATTTGTTTTGGAAACATTGAAAGATAGCAGATTAGAGTCGCACCATTTTTTTTATTTTTTTATATCTGCACTTATGATCTCGTGGAGATTACATAAAGTTTTATCACGCCATAATATTGTGGTGTTATCGGCCAATAGGATAAATTTTCCTTCTATATCGATAGATGCGGCTTTATATTTTACCGTCACGAATGTAGGTAGTATATATGTCACCATTTTCCATAGTCTTCGAAGAAATCATATTACGTTAATCACAAAACAAAAGCAAACCTCTCTTTTTGACTTTCTCAAGATTTAGAACTTAACCAGTTACAATCTTCAACTACCAGTTTTCAAAAATGCCTTTTATCTCTTGGTCCAAATGGATATTATTTGTACAATTAATTTGTATTGAAATCCTTGCATTGTCGACCAGTGAAACAAGAAATCCCAATGGATCAAATATGGATATCGACAATCGCAACATTTTTTTTATTGGAATTTTCAATCCACTGAATACTGCTGAACGGATCTGCTTCCGGTTGAAGGTGAACATCAGAATTCTTACCGTGCCTTAAGAAAAGCTCTGCGGATCTGGTTGATCATTTTTATTGATGTTTCCCCAAAAGCAATTTTATGTTGCCTAAACTGACTCAATAAGATGCAAAATCTTAATGGATTGAATAATTTAAACAAAATCACTGTGGTTTTGCCAGGATTGTAAGTGTTCCACGGACAATCGTAAGTTTTTTACTTGCACTTGCCTAAGTTTGAAGAAGGCTGGAGTATTTTTCTTACCAGACACATCCAGAAAAACAGTTTGGGACTGTTCTTTGTGTGATTTTATTTGTCAAGTGTGAGCAAAGTGGTATAACAGAACCATGAAGTTGAAGTTCCTCATCTAGATCTTCTTCAACCATGGTACACGTGGACATCTATGGCAAGATTGTTGCAAGAGGTGTTGAGCAGAAAAAATCATTCATACACTGTGTTCTTGGCAAATAGCAACTGAAGTAAATCATTTTTATGAAGATTTCATTACTGAAGAATCTCTTTAAATAGTTTTTTATTTCTGAATGATTAGAACGAACTGAGAAATAATATTTAATAAAAGTAATGAAACTCAAAAATACTTACACTTTACAAATATAAGCGATCAATATGATCACGACGAACGTTAAAAGTAACAATATTGCACCTAGTCCGGCCAAAAGAAGGGGACCTTCATTACTTTTTTTACTGGAAGTTATACCAGACTTGTCTCCAGTTTCCGAAAAATGGACGGTAACTGGAACTGTTGCGGTTTTTGGGGGTGTTCCGCTATCGGTTGCTATTACAGCAAAGTTGGCAACACCTTTAAAACCTGTCAAGAAAAAAAAAATAATTAGTGAACTTTCATATTGTTTAAATTGAAAGGGGGAAAGCTTTGGCTTTCTACTTTTCCATTTTCATACAATAAATATGAGAATCTTCCAAGAAAGGAAGAAAAAAAATAATTCCAAAATAAACTGTAAACAAAGATGTGTAGTTCATGCAAAGAAGTGACTTTCAGACAGAAACTGAAAGAAAATAGAGGGTGTCTCAAAAACCGCGACACGTGTTTCGCTATAAAATAGCTTCCTCAAGCATAAACTTTATGGTTGAGGTGTCGCGGTTTTCGTGAAACCCTTTATGGTGAAAATCATACAATAAATTGTATTAATTAGTTTTTTAATATGGATTAAAAAACATTTTTTTCTATTCAGTTTGTACTACAAAAATTCGTCATGAAATAGAATCAGATATCATTCACAGGATTTCAACACAATAAAGTATAAGAAAGAGGTGAACTTTCACTTACATGGAACACTGTCATCTTCATCGGACAACCGATGTTCCGATATAAGACACTTGCCTTATTGTGTCTTCAGCAATAATCTGGATAATATTATTACATGTAGCACTCAATCAATTCATGAAATCTTGACTTTATATCACGAATGGCTGGGATTAAATCAAATAAGCGAATGAATGTCATATTGCCGTACTGGCATCGATGACATGAGTAGATTTAACTCATTCGTGACATAAAGTCGTAATTTTATGAATGAATTGAGTAGTTCATCTTGTAATGTTATCCATATTGGTGCTGAAGATGGAGGTCCGATTCCTCACCGTTGTTGACTTTTATATTTGTGAATTTTATAGAAAATCTTATTTTTTGGTTACAGACAATATTTTTTTGGTAAAATTACATTTTATGCTGATCAAAACAAGGTCTCATTTTTTTTAATAATTCCAAATCCTCATGTTTTTAATAAGGTGCTCTCGTCCCTAAAATAAAAATGAAATTATCACTAATTTGGGCTTAAAATTGTCTGTGCTAACATCTCAAGGCTATATCATTAGCGGCACACTAATAAAAACAAGCATCCTGACCATCGAGTTTTTATTCGCATACCCCACATTGCATACCTCGAGGGCTACATCCCTGGACGACCACATCGGGAAACCTAACGTAATTTCACCCTTGTCTTATAAATCTATGACCTGTAACGAAAATTGAGAATACCCCAAGTATGATGAAACAAATCGCAGTAAACAACAACTTCGACCCCAACATGATTCATCACATCCTTGACAAAAAACTTTTCAAACAGGCCAGTAACCAAGTATATTTCCACATTAAAAATAACAATAACACCAACAAAACACTCACTTATACAGGAAAATTATCAGATGAACAAAGAGATTACAAACAAAAGAGAACATATAAAGAACAAGTCAAACATAGACAAAGATGAATATTACTGGAGATTTTACCAACACCAAACCGTTATTTTAACACTTCGACACGTGTTTCGATCACCAAGTGATAATATTGAAGATGATCAATAATTAGTTGATGATTAACCTATACCCAGATAGCACAAATACGTCTTATGGACGTTTTTAAAACGTCCCGCTTGGACATTCAGGTCATCCTTAAAACGTCCATTTTACGGACGTGAACATCTTATGGACGTCTTTGTAACGTCCATTGTTAATAATCAGGATATCTTTAGGACGTCCATAATAGAACATTATAGGTCTTCAAATGGACATTTACAGGATGTCTTCAGGACGTCGATTTGATAACATTTCATGTACATAATCTAAAGCTCAAAAATATATTCACAGGATGTTCTATTTGTTTCTATCATGCGTTTCTGTAGGCTAAAAATTATTTATTTTTTATTTATTACGTCAGATTGCTTCGAAAAAATTAAGAAAATATTGAACATTTTGAAATATTTTATTTGAAACATCCATTGAAAATAATAACATAAAATAAATGATTACATTAAAACTTTTTCGTAGATTTCACGTCCTTCCTTCCTTCGCCCTTTTTAGCCATGCCTGAATCGATAGTTCCGTTTCCTGTCGTGATTTGGCTATGTTTGCCTTCTCAGCTGAACCTGAAAATAATTCAAAATGCTTATTCAAAATGAATGGCAGATACTCAAGATATCTCAAGATATCTTATAGATATCTAATGTAGGCGGTGTCTAAATAATATACGAGTATACTCACTTATGATATGAGCTGCATTTTCCTTCACTTCTTCGTACTGAAAACTAGTGGCTTCAACACATTCGGCTGTTTGTTCTCATGATGAAGCTGCGGACGGCGGGATGAGTGTATAGAGAACAGTTTGCGAATGCCGTTTGGCACGCATATAATGTTTGTTGAAGTTTGACCTAGACATTATGAATTCAGTAACCTTTTAGCTTTTTAGTATTCAGTAAGATGAAGTGCAAACGTTAATAAGTCGACCACAATCATTGAAACAGTCGTGTACGAGTAACACGAATGACAATGACAGTCACGCGTCACACACAACAACACAGAACCACAGGTACGGAACCAACTGTTCACAACTATAAGATCATGTAGGCTATATTATTATTCCTCGCAAATATTCACTATATATGATCTAAAACTGAACTAATAGTTTTAGTTCAGTCGGTTTCAGTCATTGATTAATGGACAGTTCAGTGATCTGAACTGCATTACTTACCTTTTTTTGTCATTACTTTCAGAAAATGTCGACATTGAATAAATTAAAATATCAAAAAAGCGATGCAACCAAAGGTGAAGAATGTAATAATTAAAATCGACCAGACTTCCGTACAGCCGACAGTAAAATGCAATAAGACGCGTTCTGTGGTTGGTGACTCTGATGGCGGGAAGTTTAAAATTGTCATTTTAAACGGTCGCATGCAAATTGAGTTAGAAATGCGTTAATTATTGGCCAACCCTAATTCCTAGTTCCTTGGCAACTGAACCAACACATTATTTTATATTTCATTGTATTAACTGTAGCTGTAGCCTATATAGGTTTGGAACATATTGATGGTTTTACCATTCTAACATCTGAGGGTGACAATAAATTGAGAAGCCGACTTTGAGTTTTCATGCACATCATGGACTTCTTCCACAGGTTTTTTTAAACGACCAACAAGAAATTATTCACTCACCATTATTGACCTTGTTTTTGTAAAATGTTAATGATTAACATATTTGTTAATTATTTACCTGTTTCGCGAGAAGTATTATTGTATTGTAAAGTCTACTTGTTTTGCCAGAAGTATTAATTCATCTTATCGAGTTTTGGCATTAAATGCCAATAAAATCAACATATTCATTAATTATTNCATCTTATCGAGTTTTGGCATTAAATGCCAATAAAATCAACATATTCATTAATTATTTGTTTTCCTAGAAGTAATATTATTTTGTATTGTTCCACCATTTTTAACCATATATCTCAGTTTTGTAATTACTTACTGTTATGAAAAATGAATTGTAGAATAGTTTGATGAATCAGCGATAGATATAAAAGTAGTTTGTTGAGCAATAAATATTTTTTCACGCAATTTACTGGAATCAATATACAAATCTAGTCTATGAAAAATATAATTAATTAGCATAAGGATTGAAGAATATCAATTATTTCGGATTTCGGGTCCTCTGCTCATACTTTGCCCCAGGGCCTCCATACCTCCGAATCCGGTCCTGGCCATAAATCCTAATTTGAATTGTACAATGTATGTGGCAATGATAATGAGCAAGAAATGGTCAAGGTAACAAACGCTTTATTTTATGGGGAATAATATCGTATTCATCTAAATAGCTTGCCAATTATGTGATGAAATTAGCCGATACTTGATGAAAATGCATCTCATTTAAGTAACACTTTATTGTGAGATTTCCTTTAGACAGTTTACAAAACCGCAACACGTGTTTCATATGATATATCTGTTGGATAGCAGAAAACGTGTTGGGATTTTGTAAACTGTCCAGCGAAAATTATATGTGAGCATTATTTCAAACATCAAAATGGGTATGGTAAGACATTCTTGAAAATGAAGACATATTAGCCTTTTATATAGACCTATGAAAGAATAAAAATATGAAATGTTTGTTTTTGTCATGTCTCAAAGAAAATAGATAGAGTTTTCGATGAAAACTCGCGTTAGTATTGCATCCGTCATATTTTAATCAATTCATAGCAAACCTTAATAAATCATACAAATGAACCTTCATTTTCTATTCGTTGGTGAAGATCGTATAAAAACCGGTTCAGTAGTTTTTGAGTTTATCGCTTTCAGGGACACAGACAGGGGGTCTTTAATTTATAATACGTTCTGATATACTCAAATATTTCCCTTCAGGAATGCATCCTGACTACGTCACTGGAAACATTCATTCAAGCCAGTTTGAATCATGACTATTTCTGTATAAATCGCGTTATTATTACCTTTAGGATTTCTCAACCTCAATTCCCCATTTTGCGATATGGAGAAAAGGGTGGCGTTGACTCCGGTCAAGGAAAGGGTGAGCTTGTCGTTCTTGTCTCCATCGGCTGCTTCGATCCTCCCCAATAACTCTTCCGGCTGACCAGCGATGAAGAACTCGTAGTGCGGGTAACGGAACCTCGGTTCCCATTCGTTGACGTCTTCAACTGTTATATTCACCACGCAAGAGTCGTTCTGTAATATGTGTGACCAAACGATTAAAATAAACATTCGTTTCTGTTATGATATTTGAATATTTTTTTTAAGTTTTAAACTTTAACGATTACAAATCGACGGTTTCAAAAGGTTATTTTACATTTATATCTACAAGAACCATACCAGTCTACTTATCTGTGTTGGGAATCATACGTTAAAAGGTAAGACCTCGTTAATCCTTAGCTCACACAAGTTTCGACTTCTGAGGGTTCGTAGGGGTGCGACAGCTGGTTAACGGAAAAACATATTTTTAAACAGATCTTAGTAAGTTCACGAATATTATTGGAGTTTTATCCCAACACCAATTATTTAACACTTCGACATGTGTTTCAATTACCAAGTGATCATCTTACAGAGGAAGATTGAACTTCCACGTGTTTAATCTTCCTCTTGAAGATGGTCACTTGGTGATCGAACCACATGTCGAGGTGTTAAAATAATGGTTTGGTATTGGGTTAGAACTCCAGCGATATTCACTACTAAATCAAATGTTCGAAACAGTGCATCACAAGTTAGTAAGTTCACCTGGAATTTGAGATATCCAGCTACAAACTCGTGTGAACTTGTATTTCGACATCCTAAAAGAAGTCTCAAAACCTTCATTTTTGCACATTTTTGCAAACATGTTTCCTATGGATTTTTCGCTATTTGTTTTCGTTATCAATATTGTCATTAAAAATGGATTAATTAATGATGAATTCATAATTATCAATAATTTTCATTCCTCATTGACTATTACAATATATTTTTGCTGTGCAAGAATTTTATTTCTTTCGCATAGCTCCTCGACACCTGAAAAACAAAATAAGTGGAAATTGGATCAGGTAGTCGATGAATTTAATGATGTTGAAAACAAAAAACATTGTTACAAGCTGGAAGGAAACAGAGCCCAACAGCAAAATATTCGTGATCCAACACCCGACTTATTCCTCAAATATAGTTTTGTCCACCATAACATTCGTAGTTCTGCTTAGCACCACTGATGGTGGGTCGAAACTGCGCTGCCTGGTGATAAATTACGAATGCTTTGCGTTAAGGTTCTATAGTCTATTTCAAAAGAGTGTAGAGTAATAAATCATGAAGTGTCATAAAATTTGCCTGAATTTCGTTGTCGTCCATGGGTAGGCAAATCTTAGGATTATTAAACTTAGGTATAATTTTTGGATGGCCGTTGCTTGTAGAACTTTCGATCCCCATGCAATGGCTCCATACGTTAACATAGGTCTTATCATTGCAGTGTAGATCCAGGTGACCACACGGGGTGAAAGACCCCATGCGTGTCCCACTGTCCTCCGACATTGCTCATAACCCACGTATGCTCTTTTTGCTCTACTCTGTAGATGAGAGTTCCATGTTAGCTTCCTGTCGAGGATAGTACCAAGGTATTTTACCTCTTCAGAGAAGTTTAGTTTGCTTTTGAAGATTTCGGGAGGTTTTAAGCCCGTTAAACTTCTTTTTCCGGTGAAAAGGACCATCTCAGTCTTCTTGGGATTGATCGACAGTGAGTGTTCCTTACACGCTCTATCGCACAGTGTATCTACAAATTTGCCGGTCTGCAAGATAACTATGTCATCTGCGTATGCAATTGGGTATCCAGAACTATGTTTCAGAGAAGGGGTGATAAGACCCCTCCCTGTGGACATCCCCTCTAGCAATCAATGCAGAGTACTCTAGACTGCTGGCTGGGAATGACCTCTGATATAATGCCTCCAACTGTCAACTAGAAAGTGCCTTATACTGTACTTTTCCCTAGTAGAGAGGATTAGATCCTCCGGGAGAAGTAAATTTCAAGAGCAGATAGTTGTTGCTTCACAGATGAATCAAGAACACTTTCGGGCTCTGGTGCAGGTGTTTTCAGTTGCAGACTAAGGACAGAGATATCAACCTGCCTAGGGACATATGCGACTGTATTACAAGCAGAAATCTATACTATTGAATTGTGTGCGGAGAGATTGGTAGATTCCAACCTCACACACAAGCCAAGCTGCGTTGGAAGCTCTTGGCTCCTACCGAACAAGTCTAAATTGGTAACAAATTGCCAAAAACGACTCTCCTCGATAGGAAGACTTAACAGATTGTCTATGGTCTGGATTCCTGGCCATGCTGGCCTGGAAGGCAATGAGGCTACTGACTCCCTTGCAAAGGAGGTTGCTGCAAGCAGCTTCAGCGGACCAGAACCTGTCATTGGCATCACTTTAGGCTTTGGCAAAAACAGATTGAAAACCTGAACGGCAAGAATATTTATGCACTTCTGGCTTAATCTTCTATCTTTCTTCACTCCACATCAGTGGTGTGTATTATTCTGCAATATTTTAATCGAACTGATGTTCATAATGTGAACATCAGACACTCCATAGAACTATTCAAAAAGTCATTTACATATACGATAGCTGAATTCTATAACAAACTATCACCTTCCTTTCGGTCGAAATCTATTTCCAGTTTCAAGTACTGCCTGAAAAAACACCTTCTGAAAAATCAATAATACCCGAATATATTTTATGACACATTGGCTCCTGTAGGCCATAGCTAAAATATTTGTAGTATCCTTATGTTTGTATCGATATCCGCCTTATGAATTAAATGTTGTACCCGCTATCACAATTCCAATTTTATTTTAGGTCCTTTGTTATTTATTTTTGTTTTTCATCTTTTTCATTTTTTTTGTAAGGTGCAAGAGGAAGAATGAACTCTGTTTAATCTTGTATCCTATTGACAAATTTGTATTTTGTTTTTCTCCATTAACTAGACGCATAAAGTTATATGAAACTATTAGTGTGTTAGATGTTTTCCTACTGTGTCTACTAACATGAAGAATTGGAAATACGTTGAAACTCCAAAGAAACCGAAACTCATAAAAACAATTATTTTTGTTAAGAAACAACAATGTTCATAACAGTGAATATGACTTATGACAACTTACTGTTATTCCATCAGTGGCAAAAACTTTGAAAAAATACTCGGGTCTATCTTCAAAATCTAATTTCTTCCTCAAAGAAAATTCGCCTCTGGTATTCAAAGCAAAAGTCTTCAGAATATTTTGATCCGATACAAAATATCGCAATAGTTCTCCAGGTCTATTATTGGTGAGTGTTCCTATCACTGTACCAGGAGGTAATACTTCGGATACCTTGATGTAGAAGGTGCTGTGCAAGAATTTTATTTCTTTCGCATAGCTCCTCGACACCTGAAAAACAAAATAAGTGGAAATTGGATCAGGTAGTCGATGAATTTAATGACGTGGAAAACAAAAAACATTGTTACAAGCTGCAAGGAAACAGAGCCAACAGCAAAATATTCGTGATCCAACACCCGACTTATTCCTCAAATATAGTTTTGTCCACCATCACATTCGTAGTTCTGCTTAGCACCACTGATGGTGGGTCGAAACTGCGCTGCCTGGTGATAAATTACGAATGCTTTGCGTTAAGGTTCTAGTTTCGTTTCATTGTTCTTCAGTGAAAGCTACTGTAATAGATAAAAAAACGAATCCTATTCGATGGTCGGTGTTGAAGTTTGGATTTGTATCTGACCGTCTTGAGGAGCCACGTTCATCTTTGATATTCGTAAATTGATTCTTCTGTCAATTATATAGATGGCGTTATCGTAAGGGGAGATGTCATAGCCGACTACTACTCAGAATCTATTGCTCATCACTGACAAATATTTCAGTAACGTATCAGCTCAATAATCATACGATATCTAGAATAAAACTGTGATATGTTACAGATACATTGAACCTACGCAATATCTTATTAGAATGTTAATGTTACAATTTTTTGAAGGATAAAACATAAGCACTACAGCAATCGCCGAAGATAAAATTCATCTGGAGAAACGCCGTTCCTAAAACAGTGAAGTTTGAGGTGTACTGAGTTGAACCACTAAACGATGAGCAGCCACAGTCCGTCGCGTATTTCAGGTATGTACCGCTCTTGGTGGAATCAAATGTGCCAAATCACTTGAACATCTCCCGTGAAAGTATCTATAAAGAAGATAAAAATCTCCAACCTTTCTTCGATGTTCCAGACTATCGAAGAAGCAAGTGATTTTCGTGTCTCCAATTAGGCGAATGGTTCTTTTCTGGATAGAATCCAGCAGCTTCAGGTTATGTTTAGAGGCGGAGCTCCATACATGTGAACAATACTCCAAAGAAGGTTTGATCTGAGCTTTATAAGGCATCAAAAGTTGCTAAGGTGTGTACATTTTTCTGGTTCTGAACAGTGTTCCAAGCTTTTGAGAAGCAGCCTTTGCAATTCCAGCGACATGATTGTGCCAAGGCATATCGGTGTCTATTTTAACTCCCAACAAATTCATCGAAGCAGAAAGCGGAATTGTCTGTCCTGACACTATTATATCCGGTTGGGGTTTTCGTGACATTGAATTGAACCTGGTTACTTTCACCCCAACCTCCAGCTGCCGGTGAAGATGTGTATCCGCAGCCGATATCAAGAAATCTAATTGGAATGACGAGACAAGTGTGGTGTCGTCAGCAAAGCAATATATTGGATTCTTGGTTTTTCCAAATAAGTCTTTGAAGTACAGTAAAAAGAGGGTTAAAGACAATATGAATTTCTGGGGAACACCAGCGTTGATGATGTTCCCCAGCCACTGGCAAGGAACCTGCTTTTAGGAAGCTGGAGAGCCTACACTAAAATGATCCTCCAAGCCATAGCATCAAATTTTGGCCACCAAACCCTCATGCCACACGCGGTTGAAGGCTTCAGAAATATCAAGCGCAACAGCTCTTGACACTTCATGTTTCTCGATTGGGTTATTGTAAATTTGGGTGACATACGATAGAAGGTCGCCTATTGATCTTTGTTTCCGAAAGCCATATTAATGAAATGTAAGATATAAAAAGGTTATGTACTTATTTCATAGAGGTTACGAAACAATATTTGATGGGACTAGACTGTGGTAGCATTGCACCATTCGAGTTTCTTTTTCTCCAAAACGTTTTTGAATGAACTATACTCAATTGTATAGTTCATTCAGCTTTAAAGATATTACACTCGCTAATGAGAATATTAACAGAAACCTTAAAACTCTATACGATGAATCCTGTTCAGAAATTGTATTCAGAAATGAATTAATGGTTGAAAATATAAAATTAAACCTGAAAATTCATGAAAGGAATTCCAATTGCAAAGCAAAATTTCAACATTTTCAAAAATTTATCTGATACTCGTAAAAGTGAACTTTCCGTTGATGTTGAGAAAAATATGATTGTAATTGTAACAGAGGTCAAATAATTTGAAAATATTCTTTATCCCTCCGAACATGAAAAAGATACGAGTCTTCTTCTATCGTTCCGTTTCTTTGTTTATTATTACAAGTTTGGATAAAATTAAATGATCAACTCAAATTAATGTTTGACTCATTCTAACCAAGTACCGTGAAATAATAATGCTCACCGTCAGTGTTGCCAAGGCATATCTATCAGGATTATCTTGCTGAGTCGCTCTGATTACCAAAGTTACCGGATGTGGAAGATCGTTTTCGGTCAAGTTTTTGGCAAGACTGATTTTAGCAGTTAACCTGTTCAGTCTGAAAAATGTATACTCCACGCCTACTTCGTTGAAAGTATAGTAAACAGGAGCATTTATTCCTATATCTTGATCGACGGCTTTGATTTCTCTTGGCTTGACAAATAACAGAGAGCCTTTCTTTGGTGGTTCAGGAACCGATGAGGTATATCTGAAATAAGAACGTTTTATGTTTTTGAAGAAAAATACAGTGCATTTCAATTAGGAAGAGCCACCCTGCAAAATAAGTCGATATTGAGACTTTGAAGAAATCGTGAAACACTTTAGTTTTCAGGACACATTTCTACGTAAAAATAAACCTCTAGTCAGTCATCCTCTCCCCTTAATAACTAAAATTTGAAAGATTTTTCAACTCTGTATCTAACTTTGTAAAATTTATGACTTTAAAACAGCACCTGGCAAGCTCTTTCCGTAAAATATCCACCATCCTCATAAAAAAGTAGTGAAGTCAAATCAGGAGATCCGGGTGGTCACTGTGAAAAACATCTTCTCCCAATTTATTGACTCAGAAAGTTATTACCGAGCAACTGTCGCACATGTACTATCTTGTGGATAAACTATCCATTTTTTAATAGGAGATATAACTGGATGCCGTTGTTGATGCTTGGCATAACTTGATTATTTGAAAAACTGAAATANGTTATCCTGTTGTCTGCCTCTTTATACGGTCAGAGCGTCTTAACTCGGGTATTACAGGTACTTTAGGTAAATTTGCCTGTATTTGTACTGCATCCTACCTGATGCCTGATGCAAACCATTCAGGTACTTGATTGAGTACCTGAATTTACATTTCACAATGTGCATAGGCCAATTTAAAAACCGGAGAGTAAATTAAATCGATTTGGTCATTTAACAGGTTGCACCTGCAATGTTTATGCTTGTGAATTTCCAAGGATTCTAAATAATTGCAACCCTTCCTTGCATAGTGCAGAATTTCCGTATCGTTTAGATTCGGAAACTTGTGGTTGCATGCCAAGGAATGGTTTGAAAACGTCGAATCATTTTTTCCTAGTCTGCAGGACCTTTCATATTCAGTATACCGTTTTTGGAAATTTCGTCCACATTGTCCTACATAGCGTTACCCATTTATAACATATTTTGGAAAAAGAACAGAAATTATCGCAGGTTTCTTCAGAAAAAACAATGTGGAAGTAGCATTCAGACCACATTTCCTTTTCAATGCCAAAGATAAGGTCGACAAATTGGAAAAATCTGGAGTTTATGAGCTCAAGTGTCCGGAGTGTAAATAGTGTTTATGTGGGACAATGTGGACGAAATTTCCAAAAACGGTATGCTGAACATGAAAGGTCTTTTATCGTTGAAAAAGTGAGCAGTGGCCCTTGCAGATTTTTCATATCACTATTTCAGAATGATTTTGACATAATAAATAAGTTCAGCAAAAACTAAGTGATGTAATTAAGGACCATATTGTGTATTTGAACAAAAACTTTTTCACTTTTGTCATTTCTGTAATTGATATCGATCAGTACGGCTCAGTTGGAACATTTCAAACAGTGAAATTGTGTGTTCAGGTTCCCTTCTAGTATAGAGTTGAATGAAAACTGAAAAAATATTGATCATCATTGTAATATCAGTTGAATAATAAGGTTGGATAAAGAAGGACCTTTCAAAGAAAGTGCCTAGTGTCCGGCTGAAAGTTCGGTTTCGGTCGAGTTTCGGCAAAAAAACGTGTTTCAGTTTAGTTTCGGCGGCAAACCTGCTGAAACTACCACCAAAACCGAAACTGCATTCGGGAGTTTACGCGCTGTGATCGGTCATGTTCGGCGCGTTGAATTTCATACAAGCGACCACGTGCCTAATCATGTCGTGACTCAAGACTTTCTTTGTGATTTATTTTGTTTATTACATAAATATTAAGTACCTATTGTGATATTAAGTAACAACTTAAGTGAGTAATTTTATGTTTATTATTTTTAAGGTGCAATCAATATTTTTTCTTGAATAAGGGTTTTTTATGTTGATTATCAATAGGTAAGTAAAAATGTCGAAGACTGCATAACGTTGTGATTTAAAGATAAAAAATAAAGGATTATGTTTTTCCCTCAAAACATAATCCTTGTAAAGAAGTTTCGGTTTCGGCCGAAACTGAGACTGTTGCCGAAATTCGTTTTCAGTTTCGGTTTCGGTTGAACACTAAAAATGCCTCTTTACAAATATATCCATTTGGCATGAGGTTATATTGAAGAAAGGAGGTGGCTGACAAGTGGTTTACTTTTCCGTAGAAAACTAAAGTTAACGTGTTTCATGATTTTTCCACAGCGTCAATATCAAATGATTCAGGGTGACTCGTTTCAACTGGAATGCACTTTTCGAAATATTAGTAAAACATTTCAATGAGTGAATTTTTGATGTAATCTTTGGGCTGCAGGAAAAAAACAAGCTATTTGTGTTCTTTGGATGGTATCAGTAATTTGATTGATGTATGAAGCACACTAGAGATCCTCTGTTTCTAATTTTTCATGATTTCACCATGGTCATTAAAGATATTGCAATTTTGAGAAAGCGTGTCTAAAGAAAACAATGTTTGGAACTGAAATGTTTTTTGAAAATATATTTTATGAAATTTTTCGATAAAGAAAGTGAAAAGAGATGAGTTTTAAATCAATCTACAGAATCAGAACCAATATGAGTATCTCAAGAAATATAACTGCTATGAATGACAAATAATTATTTATTGAATAGTCGAAGGCAAATAGTGGATAATAAAAAACGATACCACATTTTAGATTTTTATTGGGATTATACATCATACACATTGAAAACAAATAAATGGCTTAATATGAGTTATCGAAGGTTCCTTCGTTCTGCCTTCTTCTTTTACAAAATTTTTTATACCATAGATGAATTTCTGAATCTTTTGTAATTTTATGTCTCTACTTATCACATTAATTTAATGAAGCTGAAGTTGAATGAAGTCGATATGTTTTGTCCATAATTATAACCCTATGACAATCTTGCCAGTCAGGACTAGGCAAAAACGGTCTTCATTGACTTCATCGAATCCCGAGCACACAATTTTCATGTTGACGGAATTAATCGACTTGTGTTACTTTGCCAAAGGTGCACTGATTCAAATGAACCTCATTTTGATTGAATTGAATAATGATTCACTGAGATATTACAGTTCAAAGCAGAGTCATGAAAACGAACGAAACTTTTGAAAATGAAGTATATTTCCGAAAAAAAATGGTATTTGAGTTTACCCAATTCCAATAACATTGCCATAGATCACTGTTTCAATTTGAATTATTCTATTCAAAGGACGTTCCCTGTATCTTGAATTCACATCACTTGTAAAATCAAAGTGTAATTGGATCATACCTGTCATCGAGGAATTTCGGATTCTGATCGTCAGCATCTATCACATGAACAGTCAGAATGGTGTCTGTTTTCTTCGGGGGTTCGCCGTGGTCCTGCGCCCTTATATGCACTTCAAAACTCTTCAAACTCTCATAGTCCAGGGGTTTTTTCAGCACCAACGTCCCTTCAAGTTCGTTTTCGAATTCGAAAAAGTCGGAATTAACACCCGGCAACACCGAATATCGAACACTCGAGAAAATGCCCTGCTGATCGTTGTCTACCGCGTGCACACCCTGTAGAACCCGCGTTCCTATCACAGTCACTTCGGAAATGTTGAGAACGTACGGGGCATTGATGAAAACCGGGGCGTTATCGTTAACGTCCGTCACTCTGATGTTGACCGGTATCACGAATCCCGGATCAAGTGTGCCAATTCTCTCGCAGACGAGATTCACGAACACTGAGGATGGACCATCGATTCCTTCTTTGTCTAGAGGCTTTTTTAGGGTCAGGTTTTTGGTGCCAGGCGTTACAATTACTGGACTGTCTGTTTCTTTGAGATGGAGGCTGATGGATCCGCTTGGTCTGGGATCCCCGTGGACTCGAATTTGACCTATTACGGCTCCCACGGGAAGGTCTTCCGCGACGAAGAAGTTTTCTGAAGAAGCACCGTTTTCCAGGAAGCATCGGTTGTCCGTGAGAGCTGCAAATGTAAAATTAGGTTATCTCTAGATTGTACATTGTTTTCAGTCGCAGCACCAAAAAGTAAGTGGTCGCATGTTCTCTAAATGCATATTATATTTCAATCAACCATGAGTCATTTTCTATCTCTTGATTTGATTTGAAACCTCAGACGGAAAATATCTAGTTAACGTAATATTTCACGAGATGATGGTTAGAGAAACGGAGAGAAGATTTGTAGACTTGGTGAGATGCCCACACCTGAAAATTTTCTTCACGACAACTTACAGACTAATCTGGTAATCAGAAGAAACAGAATTGTTTATCATTACTAACTCTTGAAGACCCATCAAGTTTTATCTACGTACTAGAAAAATATATATTTTGCATAGAATTTCAAAACATTCACCTCTCCCGGTGTTCCTACATACCCTGACTTACACCCCATCGCAGTCTTGCATTCTGCCTAACTCGATCCGTATTCGTTATTTTTTTTAAGGGCAAAACACAAGCACTACAGGAAAATCCTTAAAACACTCTAAGAACTGTGTCTGTGCGAAATTAGCAATTCGTATTGTATTTGAATCGCTGGAGATTAAAACCATTTGGAAAAACGTTCTCAGGAAGTTCAGTCCACCGTGTTAGGGTCACATGTTAAAAGGTAAGTCTTCGTTGATCCTGAGCTCGCACAAGTTTCGACTTCTGAGGGTTGTCGTTCGTAGGGGTGCAACAGCTGGTTAACAGAAAAATAGATTTTAAACAGATTTTTTAAGCATAAACGCAGTTCTCCAAATGGAAGAGTTCTTGAACAGTGAAGTTCGAGTTGTACTGAGTTGAACCTTGAGACAATGAGCAGCCACATTCCGTCGCGTATTTCTGATATGTAACACTATTGGTGGAATCAAATGTGCCAAGTCACTTGAACATTTACCGTGAAAGTATTTTTGGAAGAGAGACAAATCCCCAACCTTTTTTCGATGTTTCAGACTATCAGAGTTGCAAGTGATGTTCGCGTCTCCAATCGGACGGATGGCTCTTTTCTGGATGAAATCCAGCAGTTTCAGGGTTTGCTTAGGGGTGGAGCTCCATACATGTGAATAATACTATACTAATACTACTAAGTCTGATCCGAGCTTTAATAAAGCTTTCTTATTAGTCAGTGGGCTATGCTTTACGACTTTAGGTCGATGATGGTCACTATCTTGCATTGATGAGTGGCTAATAAGCCCGAAACCGGTCTGCAAGTGTGCCATAATTGAAGGTCGACTCTTTCAGTTGTATTGCCAATTGCATATGCAGGAAATTTTCTGTGAAGATTCCTGTACTGACGCCTGTCAGATATAATCCAACGCCCTTCGTGGTATTAGCCAGGGGAGTAGTTGTTTTCTGATAGGCGTCAGTCCATTAAACCTACTGTGTAGGTATATAGAGACTGGCTTGAACGTTTGTCTAAGTAGGTTACTGATCCTGATATTCTTGTGCTGTTATTCTTAGAGTGAACATATGACCAGAATCTGCTAGGATCTCTAGACAACATTGTTTGTATGTTTTGCAAGATAGTTATCATGTGCGGTTTTTATTTGGCTTTTAATCAAAGCACGTAAACGTTGGAATTCAAATCTATCCTCATCACGTCTAAATTTCCTGAATTTTTTTCTGAACTTAGCCTTCTGTTTGAAGTTCTTCAATCGGACGGATGGCTCTTTTCTGGATGGAATCCAGCAGCTTCAGGGTTTGCTTAGGGGCGGAGCTCCATACATGTGAATAATACAACAAAAGAGGTCTGATTCGACCTTTAATAAAGCATCCAAAGATGCTGAGAATGTACAGTTTTCTGGTTCGGAACAGTGTTTCAAGCTTTCGAGAAGCAGCCTTTGCAATTCCAGCGACATGGTTGTGCCAAGACATATTGGTGTCCATTTAACCCCCAACAAACTTATCGTTTTGGGACATTCATTAAGAAATGCTTCTCTGGAGGATATATCAACCTTCGCCCTTCTTTCTGAACCCCAGCATCTTTATTCGTATTTTGAAAATTTTTGATATTCAGACATTATATATTAGATAATATTCGATAGACATCTGTGTGAGCTTTTTCGAAGGAGATGTTTGAAGATGCTTCTCTTTAGACTTTGTTCACAAGAAGGAACTGTTACTACTCCATTGTACTCCTGTCGATGAACTCAATTGAGTATCAGACAGGAATTCTGTCTTGATTAGATTTATTTTGCACAGAAGAGGAGTTAATGGTTTTTAACTGATCATTCGATTGATTTCAGTAAAGTCCTGCTTATGAACCTACAGTAATCCAGGACGAAGATTTGAGGACCCTGGACTCATCAAAACGGTGCGTGGGATAGCGAAAGAACTAGGCATTAGCTCCCGTGCGGTTTTTGATGGATTAAAACATATTGGGAAGGTCAAAAAGCTTGAAAAGTGGGTGCCCCACGATTTGAAGGAGAGAAATATTACCTTTCGAGGCCTGTCCTTCCTTGCTTTTGCAAACGATCTTTTTTCAATCGGATCAGCATGTGAATGAAAAGTGGATGCTCTTTGACAACAGAAGATGTTCAGGACAGTGGTTGGACACCGATGTGCCATCCAGGCACTTCTCAAAGGCACAACCCACCAAAAAAGACTGTGGTTACTGTATGATGGTCAGCAGCTGGTGTGGTTCACTATACCTCTCTGCAATCGGGCCAAACAATCACATCATCAGAGTCCTATTGTTAGTGAATCGAGGAAATGTAGAGCAGCAGCAGCAGCAGCCGGACATGACAACGCCCGTCCGCACATTTCATAAATAACCGTCCGACAATTAAACGAATTGAGCGTCGAAGTTGTGCCTCACCCATCATACTTCCCAGACCTCTCGAAAACAGACTACAGTCTTTTCAACAGTCAATTCGACAATCAGGACCAGGCAAAAGCAGCCTTCATCGACTTCATCGAAACCCGATTACGCAAGGTTTATGATGACGGAATTAATCGACTGAGTAGAGTCTTGAAAACGACAAAACTCTTGAAACAACCTTTATTTTATTATCAATGTACGATTTGTAGACTTATAGTCTATAACTTGACTTATTGGTTGTATTTTTGATAATTGTCGGTCACAAAAACTCAAAAGAGTTTATAGGCTCACGAGCAATAAAGGATCAATCTATTTCAAAGCCACTTATCAAATAGACATCAAGTTGTGAAAGTAGACGATGCATTTGGCAAGCAGGAAGTGATCGAATACGGTGTTCCTCAAGGCACTGTCCTCGGTCTCATACTCTTTAATATATATGTCAACGGATTATTCTCCCTCGAAAACAGTGGTAATAGCATGGGTGTCGCCGATGGCATGGCCATTGAACTGAAACACCCTCAAGAAAAAGCCAAAAGAGGCTTTGAATTGATAAAAAAACTGGGGTTCTATATAGATTTCCATTTGAGGTGGGATCATATCCAAACAATAATGTACAAATTTGAATATCTAGAAAATTTACTATATTATGAACACTCTAAGAAAACGGTCAGCAACAGGCAGACCGCGGTCCACAAACGGACCGCAAAGGTCGAATCTCGGACCGCCAAATATTGTAATGTGTTGTTTACCAAATTAATACGTAGATAAGATATACTATACATTTATTAATTAAAATAATATTTTTGAGTCACATATAATTCTACTGAGTACTTATTTCACTTCAATAAGTTGCCTAGTTAACCTGTTTTAGAAGTACTTACATCTAATATGGTTTAATTAGTTTCCTATCTAGCTTGTATGTGTGTTTGTGCGAATTAGTTGATGTTGCGGTAGAATGGACAGATGTGGCTGTCAAGTTGTTGAATCTGTCAAAGTCATAATTGGTTCGCAAGAAGATGTGTCTTTGCAAATGTATAAAACGGTATCCACTGAAGAACTTTGGATCAAACATGAAAATTGCGAGAAACTAGCTATAAATTTAGAGGAAATCGGTATAATAATCTCATTGAGTAAATATATTCCGGATGTGTAATCTTCCTACTACTAATGACTAAGATTTCCCTCAGAAGTAAAAGTTACCATCCTTTTATTTCAATTGAAGAAATTGCTGAACTCGCCAACATATGTTTACTGCCTGAAGAAATAATCTCTTTCCGTCATACATAATTAGTTATTGTTTTATTTAATCTTATTTGTTCCACGAAGAATTCAGATTGCTTGGGAAAGTGGATCATAAAATAAGATTATCATTGGTAACCTACTACATTGACATGACATGTCGATTGCTAGTTTGCCGGTTCCAATTTGATATAATTCGAATAGATAAATTAATTGGCGATCGCGATGTGTAGTCAACTTACAAAATAGAACGGAGGAGAAGAGGATTTTGTATTTTGATAATTACCGTTGAAATCTCATAAATTAATCCAAGTCAGGGTTGTCTTAAGGAGAGGTCCTGTCCTCTTTGCTACATAATAGACCAGGGCTGAAGCCTTCAAAAATGGTAAAAAGGGAAAAAAATAATAGTAGGATGACACCCATACAAAAAGGAGATGAATATGTTAAAAATGAAAGGAAAAATAAATTATGGGCTATGTGAGATCGACAAGTGGGAGGGCATGAGTTTTTAAGGGTAAAACTACAACAACAACTACAATGGTAGAACTACAACTACAAGTCCTATGGAAAAATGGCAAAGTTGTAAATACTGAAAAGATCTACATCTTTTGTGTCCACAATTTTTTCACATAACCTCAAAATTTATGTGAAAAATTCAAGTAAGCAAATTTTTGGTTTTTTATTTTTCTTTTTCAAATAAAAAAATGTTCTAGGAAATTTGGTGAAAATTTACCTTTGTATGTCCCAAATACACTTTTTCTTTTCTAAATATATCGTATTCTAATCCTCCATATCCATATTGGTTAGAATACGATATATTTAGATAATAAACAAACACGTAAAGGTATATTCCTGACAGTTCACATCACTGTGGACAGCACAAACGGGCTGTGTTGAATTTTTTAGTGCATCGTCTTTTGACTTTCCCT